TATACACGCCCACTAAAGGATTGTAATCAGACTGAATATCATAGATTGAATATTATAGATATTTAAAATTTGTTAAGTGTATCGATTTTTCTCGTTTACCTTGTAACGCAATCAAAAATATAAAAGTTGTTAATTAGTAAATGATGTTTTATTGTTTATACGCCAAATATGTCCTCACTCCCAGAATTCAACTTTTTTCATTTTTTACGTACTTATGTGATTAAAAAATAAGACTCATTTTAGCCCGCCAACTCCCCACCCTCTAACACCACAAAAAAACGTATTTTTTTCGTTTTTTTAAGTGGGATAGAATCAATTTAAAAATTTTCAAAAATTCACACGCATACTTATGGCTTTACAAAATTTGTTTATTTTTTAGCCCCAGGTTGAGAGTACATAACCTAAAAATGCAGTTTTTTTGAAAAAAGTTTCTTTTGGTGATGGCTGCAGGTCTATTTTTTGGCTCAACACGAAAAACTGTTTTTAGGGGTTTTTGGGGATTTTCACCATTGTATAGACTCTAAAATCATATAAATATAATACAAATAGACTAACTGCTGTCATACAGTATACATTTTAGTCATACATTCTAATGGGCCGGGTTTATCGACCACGTGACCTTCTCATTGGTCATTTAGGTCACGTGGTCGATAAACTTAGTAAATTAGAAGAGATGCATGGATTGCTTTAGGTCAGTTTTCTTTGTCGCACTGGGGGAACGGACAGCCTATTTGTATGATATGTCGATGTTTAAAACAGATCAAATTAAGTTTTTTTATATATATTAAGTTATAAATAATTTGAAGTAACTGAGTCCTTTGGGATAAAATTGGGCAAAACACCTTTGAACTCTCAAAGAATTATGTTTTATCACGGTTTTTAAGGATTTTTGTGTTTAAGGAGATTTTGGGGGGTTAATCAGATTTTTTGAGATCGATCTAACCTTGATCAATGCGTTTCCAATTCATAAAAAAATAAAATAAAAAAATATCCCATTGTTTATGCTAAAATCATGGTTTTCAATGATTATTCAGGGGTGTTTATTGAATTTACTCAACTTTTTTTACATTTCTACATCATTAAACAGCATGTTTTCAAAAATTTTACGAAATAACATGAGATAATGGGTTTGTCATATTCAGGGAAGCTAAAAATTTCTTGAAACAAGCGAAAAACCAGTTTTTCAAGTGTTTTTGGGGGGGGGGGGATTTGACTTGATTTTAAATGTGTGCGTGTGTGTGTGTGTGTTTCTCCCAATTTTTGAATGTTCTAAAGAACTTGTTTATATCAAATTATATATAATTTCTTAAAAAAACCTTTGTTAGTACCTGCGCAGTTGCGGACGAATTTTTCAGAAACAAATATTTACATACAAAAGTCTATAAATCTTGAAAAAAATATATAGTTCCAATTAAAATATACTTTAAGTTTAAATTTTTGACTGCGTTAGTGGGTCATTAGTTTTCATTCTGGTTCTTAAGAGCGTAGGCGCAAAATTTCGGAATTTCTGGGAAATGATTTTTAAATGCATTCAATTTTTTCGAATCCTGAGAAAACTAATTAATATTTTTTAAAAATTTAAACACAGAATGAAAGATTTCATTATTTCCGAGGGCAAAAAGTCCTTTAGAATTAACAAAAAGTTTCTTTTGAATGAAATATTTGAAATTAAAAATCACACTTAATTTTCCCTTCTTTTTCATGCCTGTAACTTACTAAAATAATTATAGAAGTTGTCAGGGAATTTCGGCCCTCGGTAATAATGTAATCTTTCATTCTGCGTTTAAGTTTTTCAAAAATATTTGTTAGTTTTCTCAGGATTCGAAAAAAAAATGAATGCATTTAAAAAGAATATCCCCGAAATTTTGCGCCTACGCTCTTAAATACCAATTATGTGTAGTTGGTATCTTTTAATGCTGAACATAGATACACGAGCTAGGATATATTTTATAAAAATATTTTTTCTGTATAAAACAATTTAAAACAATAGCTGAAGATGTTAAATACGATTTCATCGCATAATTGTTAATTTATAACTAAGTTTACTCAAAATATTTATAGGAAAGTCATAATGCATACGTTTTGCAAAAAAAAACTAGGAGAAATTGACAGATTGTAGCCAAAAACGTACACCGCAGTAATATTTGCTAATAATAACATTGATTGCGATGAGGCATTTTCTATAAAATTTTAAATTTAAGACAGAAATAACAAAAACCATAAAACTTCAAAAGTTACAATATTTCGGTCGTGTAATGAAAAAATTCAGAGAGGTATAACCTTCTACACCTCATAATACAGGGTAGGATCGCCGGAAGGAGAAGCCCAGGCCGAACGAGAACATCCTGTCTCCGAAATCACCGAGAATGGTATCAAGAGACCACCGCTAATTTATTTAGAGACGCTGTAAACAAAGTTATTATTGCCAATATGATCGCCAACGTTCGATAATCAGACAGGGTACTAAAAAAAGAAGAACACAGTGGTGTATACAAACTTAAATGTGGCGACTGCCCAAAACCTTACATGGGTCAAACTGGTAAAACTTTTAACAAACGTATGGCAGAACATAAAAAGGCTTTCAATGATAGAAAAACAGATTCTACATACGCACTTCATCTTCTAGATCACAATCATTCATTTAATAACGAATTTCAAATTCTTCACATCCAAAATACAGGCCTTAAGCTCTTTATTAGAATCTATGGAAATTAACAAATTAAAATACATAGACATAATTCTGAATGACCAACTTGACACAAACAATTCTCCCCTTCTCAAACTATTTCGTTAAAGTCTATAAAGTGTATACCAAAAAGAGATCACTTGAGAAAGGCACTCTGCCGAAACAGCTGTACTGATAAGATTTTATAATACATTTTGTAGAAGTTTTGAAAACAAAGTTTTCAGTGTTTTATTGTTATAAAAAATAAATTTCCATCAAGTAACGATTGAATCCAACACTTATTTATTGTTTAAGTTTATCTAATAAATTAAATTGTTTTATACAGAGTAGTTTAATTCGATAAACATTTATATCACTATTCACACGAATAAATATTTAAGAAGAACAGGAAATTCGTTTTTATACTTCTATTCAGATTTTTTCGATTTATAAAATATTGAATTGAATTGTTAGAATTTGCCCTTTAATTGTAGATAACTACTTTTTCAGTGATATTTATATCTACATAGGAAATGCACAAGGTATGATTAATTAAAATTGAATTTCCTGCATAGCTGTACAAATTTTCACTACAATATGCGAGAATTTGATCATATATCTTTAAAGTTCGATATTAAATACATTGTAGGTGTATGCATAATGTGGTCACATGTGGAATTTTCATATAACTCTTACCTGCTTACCTGCTTCATTCTGCATTTTATTTCTTAAGGTTTTTTGATTAACGAGTCATATAAGAAGCAACTAAGAAGGGAAGTAACTAATTAGTTTTGCGATAATATCTCTCTATTCTCTTTGTCTCTCTATTGCTGATCTTTGGTATTACCAGCATGTGTAGAAATGCCATGCAGAAAGGCCATTAAAAACACGCCTTTTTAAACAGCTTTGTTCTTCAATGGAAGCACAACACGAAGTTTTGCTTTTGCATACTGAAGTTAGATGGTTAAGCAGAGAAAAGTCTTGAATCGAGTTTTAGAGCTTAAATGCGAATTGTTAGCATTTTTTTAAGGAGAAGGTGCAGCAACAGATAAATTTGCAATATATTTAGAAAATAATAGTTGGTTTGCCAAATTAGGATATTTGACTGACATTTTTAAATACTTCAATACTATTAACATGAATGTCCAAGGAAAATCTGAAAATATTTTGTTTTGTACCGACAAATTATCAGGGTTTCAAAAGAAAATATCTCTTTGAAAAAATCGCATATTAGAAAAAGGTACATTGGATATGTTTCCCAGTATTAGCGCAAATATTGAAGACATAAAATCCGTTATCATCCAACATTTGATGCTATTAGAAGAAAAAATTGATAACTACTTTTCTTCCCTAAATACAGATAATTACGACTGGATTCGAAATCCTTTTATCTCGATTAATATGTCGAAATACCAGCTATCAATACAAGAGGAAGAAGAGTTAGTAGGCTTGTCATCGGATCGCACTCTGAAACTAAGTTTTCTGAAATGTCACTTGAAGAATTTTGGATTTCTGTGCAAGCCGAACACACACTTCTTTCTACAAGAGCATTAAAGGTATTACTACAATTAGCAACTTCATACTTGTGAGAATTAGGGTTTCCAACCTTCACAAACATAAAAACAAAGAAACGTGAAAGACTTGGGAATATTGATGAAGAAATGGGGGTAGCATTATCGCATATTAGACCGGACATTGCTAAAATTTTCAAAAGTCATCAGGCTCAAGTGTCGCATTAAATTTGTGTAATTTTTATGTTATTATGTTAGTTATGACCATACATCTAATTTGTTAATGTATTTACTAAACTACATATTTTTTGTTAATTTCAATTTTTAGAATGTTTTTATTGTTATATTTTGTCTTTGCGTGTATTTGCAGTTGAAGAACGTGTTTTATTTACATTTGCATTTACATTTGCACCCCTTATTTAGTGGTTTCTATAAAATAACACAATGGTGTTCCGCGACTTTTTCAAAATTTGTCAAGTGTTCCCCAGCTTTGAAAATGTTAAGAACCACTGTATTAGATATATTATGTATATGGGCATTCTTATACAATTAATTTGTTTTTTTATTTATTCTTTTATTTAACTCAGTTAAATTAATGAGTAAAGATTTTTGAAACGAAGCGTGTAAGACCAACACTTCATTCTAACTGTGGCTTCTACTATGGGGCTTAGTCAATCTTTGATGATCTATTATAATTATAATTAACCACGAACACTTATGAATTTTATATATCCTATTCTTCTTAAATTATTACTAAGTATCTTAAGCATCCGAGTCGACAATGTACAGAAAACGTTTACATACTACCAAGTTTGGATTGCCCACTCATATTTCCCTTTTTATCGTGTCGCAAAAATATATGGAAATGTCCTTAACGTCAGCAAGAACAATTCTGTGATTGTGATCCGCCGTCTACATCGTTTAGATCTTTTGGCCGACCTCGTCGTCCTGGAAGCATAGCTCGATCTACCGCTGTTTCTATTCTGATCATCACTCGCTCTACTAAGGTTTCCACGGCCCTGTTTACGTTCTGTCCCGTTGCGGCACTCGTTTCTAAGTAGGGCAATCTGAAAATATTTATGAGATATTTATTCGTATACTGTAAACATGCCGTCAGTAAAACATATCGCACATCAGCAACAACACTGTCACAAGTCGAAATTCAGTATTTTTTATTTTTGTTGTAATAAATAGGTATTTGGCATCACTGTCAAAAAGATATTTTGTCATATAAGCGCTAGATGGCGACTTATGTCCATTATAGCTATAACTACTTTTGTAAAACTCTATTCAACAATAGTGTAACAACTCACTTATGACAGTATTGCAGTAATTTTTAGATAACTATTTTTTTTCAAATTAAGTGAGCTATACTACTATTATTTACTAATAGCGATGGGTCTCGACAACAACACTGTCACATTATTCTGAAAGCCACATTGTGGTGTGTTTTCTGTTTATTAAAAAAGGGTTTTTTTGTGAATTTGTCATAGAAGAATGACTAATCAGTTCAAATACATATATAGAGACAGCTATCAGCAAATAGCTGACATCTATAGATTATAAAACAATTTGTATGGAAGAAAATAAAAGTTATCAGAATGTCACCATGTTCTCAAGAATTTTTAATACCTCATTTTTCCATCCTAAGAAAGATCAGTGCAGTATGTGTGCAGAGTATAAACATACAAAGAGTAAGATCAATTTACAGAAAAATTGTGATCGTCATTTAAAGGAAAAAGATCTGTCACATACTAAAAAGATAAAGATAAGCAAAGAAGCAAAGCACGTGAGTGTATTACAGTCTCTTTTGATTTACAGGCAGTTCTCCATACACCTTGTGGGGCATTAACTCCTTTAACTGTAAATCAAAGTTAAGTACGAATAACTTTACTATATTTGACTTACGATTATTGAATGGTTTCTGCTACATTTGGCACGAAGGAGAAGGTAACTGTGTATCTAACGAGATAGAATCATGATTATACTCATTTCTTAAAAATGAATGCTCTAAAGGCTTTCCTGTTGTATTTTACTGCGATAATTGCTATGGTGAGAACAAAAACAAATTTACAACCTCGTTACTTCTTTAAATAGTAAGCAAACCCGATATTCCTTTGATTATTTAAAGTTTTTGATTGTTGGTTATAAGCAAAATAAAGGGGACAACATGCACTCCTTGATTGAAAAACAGAAGAAACATCCTATCACAATTTTGTGGTTTTGGAAGAAAAACACCTTTGGGTTTTCAGCAACATAGAAGACACATTTGTTAATAACTAATATGTTAGTTTCAAATTTCTACAATGCACAATACTAATTGATAAAACAACCTAAATTAATCTTATTGAAGTAAAAATAACAAAACTTTCATTCAATTTATAGAAATAATCCAACATTAATTAGTAAGGATAATCTTCATACCCGATTTACTCAAATTGGCAATTTTTGACTTATGACAGTGTTGTTGCTGAGGTGCGATATACTGAATTAATAAAAGCTGTATGTAGGGTACACTGCATAGATTTAAACAGTGTAGTAACTTAATAATGATTCGGTAAAAACAATATCTATATAAATAAAGGCTATGATGACGAGGAGTCTGACAAGGCGATATAATTTCACCTAAACTGTTTACCTTGACCCTCGAAGACATAATAAAATCAACAGATTGGGAAAACAGAGGAATATGTATTAACGGCAAATACCTAAATCACCTTAGATATGCGGATGATATACTCCTGATCTCCTCGGAACGATAAGAACTGGAATTAATGCTGAATGAACTTCATGAAAAATCACTGCAAAAATGCCTAAAAATTAACTTAAACAAAACAAAAGTAATAACAAACACGGAAGACCAAGAGCCAATAAAAATACAAACAGAAAAAATAGTACAGGTAAATGAGTATATCTATCTAGGACAAGCAATCAAAGCTAACAGAGAAAATCAAACAGCCGAAATATCGAGACGAGTACGAATGGGATGGGCAGCGTTCGGCAAACTTTCTTATGTTCTAAAAAATCAAACAATCCCTCTATACTTACGAAGCAAGGTATATAACTCCTGTATAATACCGGTGCTCACCTACGGAGCACAGACATGGACATTTACACAGGCCAATTTGGATAGGATAAGGAAGGCACAAAGAGCGATGGAGAGACAAATGTTGGGTGTATCACTTAGAGATAGAAAACGTAACCAGTGGATCAGAACCAGAACAAAGACAGTAGACGCGATAGAACAAGCAGCAAAACTGAAATGGAAATGGGCTGGACACAATAAACGTCTCCAAGACGGACGATGAAACAATGCCATCGGAAAGTGGCGTCTATACAATGCAAAGAGATCAAGAGGCAGACCACAGATGAGGTGGAAAGATGACATCAGGAAACAAGGAGGTCCCACATGGCAGAGAACAGCTCAAGATAGGGAAAGATGGAGAGAACTGGGGGAGACCTATATCCAACAATGGAAGGATAGAGAATAGGTTCAAAAAGAAAATATGACAAGTCACACCTTTGTCCAGTAAATTAACGACACCATCTAGAAAAGAAATCGGAACTACCTACATTAGACATTTCAATCACAAGCATCAAATATTATGCACTGCATGGACTCAAACAGTGTGGTAACTTGATATTAAATCGGCAAAAACAATATCTATCTATATAAAAGGCTATGACGACAAGTCATACAGTTTGTCCAGTAAACTAATCTTAACCATATTAATGTAATTAATAAATAATATTACATATTAACATTTTTAAGGTACGATTTAATACAAAATAATTTAAAGTTTGATTTTAGTTTAGATTTAAAATTCTAGCATCACCTAGGAAAGAAATCAGAACAGAACTGATAGATAAAATAAGTTAAAATTATCTGACATATAAAATATTAAATATTTATTTTCCATTTTTCAGTACTTTATTTGCCAAATAAAGTACTGAATAAAAAGTTATCTGGAAAATAAACTGTGTTTATTGTAGTTCGTTACTATGTCGTAGATTATCGCGAAAACAAAAATATAACCTAAATATTGTTGTTTAGTGTAAGTTAGAGACACGGATATTAAAAGATGTAATGAAATCGGAGAGTGTGGTCAGTAAGATGGTTAATGTTTATAAACTGTGTGAGAGAATATAATATTTAATGCAGAATTGAACATTTTAATTTTTGTAATGATAAAGACTTTTTTAAAAGGTTAAGATTCAGTAATCCGAAGTGATCTATATTCTGAGAAAATATTGTAAATAGTTGTTAATAAATGATTATAAAAGTAGCTGTATACATATTTTCATTTACTTAGTTTAGGGATTCAATATTTTCATAATCTTAATAATTACAAAATTAACCTTTTTCAAGAGATATTGGTGCTATTGATTCAATAATAGAAGTATCGGATTCCAAAAAGAAAAATATGCACATAGTACCTAGATTGTCAGATTATTGTAATAATTAAAAAATACATTCAATTATATATAAAAAAAAAGGCTCAGAGTAAGTATGCAAAATATCCAGAGTGTAGTAGGAAAATTTCAAAACTTTCAATAAATCTTTTATATAATCTATGGAATATTAATTTTAAATTCTGACAATTTCGTGATACTTCTTGGATAGGTTTTTCTAGGTACCTACCAGGTAGGAATAAATAATTCCACCCGCCTTCCAGCCCCGGTTGCAGGACTCCGCCAGCGTGGCCACGATGATATCCGAGGCCGCGCATCCGAGGCCGCGCGCTAGGGTTCTTCGGACACCATGGCCGTCAATACCAGAGACCTACCTGCTAAAAAAAAACACCCTCCTCAGCGGTGAATTACCGGCCGGATCGCCCTGATTGGCACGGCATTCACTCGATCTCTCATTCACGCACAATTCTCACGCATTCTAGCACTTTCTCACTACGACTGAATTCTTCTCTCCCTCTATTCCTTCCTGTTCATGTTCAATCTCACGCCTTCTCATTCTGCCTTATCTTATTGCTTGCTCCTGGGCACCCTGCCTCCCTTCGGGTCGCCTTTCTTCTTGTTCCTTTCTCTCCAATGTTTTCCTCACATATCTCTGAACTACTCTCCACAGATCTGACGACCTAAGCATCTCCTTCACCAGTTCCGTGACTGATTCTCCTCATTTAACTTGTCACACAGTTCTCTCCAGTGCCTCTTCTTCTAAGCTCGGATCTTCCTGTTCAGTTCCTTCTTTGCATTGTATAACATATCCATTCTGCTAACTTCAGTTACTTCTCCTTTACCTCTTGCCCTCATAGCCTGTCTTTTGATGGAAATACATTCCTTCCTCTTATTGGCAATCTCTTCGCACCACCAATAAGGCATTTTTCTTTTTTTATCTACCCCGTTTATGCAATTTCTCACAGTATCTCTTATTATTGATTCAAATCCTTTTGCCGATGGTGGTTGGTCGACCTGGGTCAACTTTATAAGTGTTAAGTTATGCAATAAATTAAAAACTACAATTTGTCTTTATTTTGGAAAAGTGAACATGAAAAATCAGTTGGGCTAAGGTAGCGGGAGTCCAACACCAAATTAGGTATATAGAATGTAGTGGTGTTATCCAAAAAGATAAATACGTGAGTATTAATGAGTTCATTAATAATTAAATTAAATTTACAATTAAATATACATACTTATATGATTCAGCAAATTCCCTAGCTCTCCATTCGGTAATAACTCTTCTTTCTTCTAGATCTGCTTTATTTCCACACAAAACTACATCTGGTACCTCGCAGTAGGCATGTAACTAAAAGAATTAGAGAAATTTACTGTGTGTGTACTTGTTTATTGAAACCAGCAGACCAATTTATAAATTACTGATCTAAACTACTGATATTTACAAATATATGAAAATTGCAGTATAAGATGTAAAAAAACACAAAATATACATACAGGAAACAAATACAGTAAATTAAATAAAAACTTTATAATATGATTCTTTTTTAGCAATTAAAAAAATGATTGCCAACCTTCGTTGGAAGATAGCACAATGAAAAGAAGTATTATATTAAATATAAAAAATTCAAAGTTCTGTGAGATTCCAAATTAACCAGGTCTTACTTTGATTATTTGATTATACAAAAATTACATTATTATACAGTCTTAAAAATTGAGATAAAAAAACACAAAATAATTGTTTAAAACACTCTAAACAGGGAACTAAATATAAAATGCACCTAATTGTATTTATAAAAAGTAAAGAGCAAATATAAAAAGCAAACTATGCAGTGTTTCATCAATCCACAGTGCAGCAAAGCTAGCAAATAAAAAAAAACTAAGGAGAAAATGTTCAATTGGCCTCCTACCCTTAGTTGTTCTATCCAGTTTCGTATCTCGAGAAATGATTGTTCATTTGTGAGATCGAATAGGAGCAAAAATCCCATGGCATCTCTATAAAATGCCGTTGTGAGGCTGCGAAATCTGATAATAAAATAATGAAATTAATTGTATTCCTATTATTTTTTATATATCTAGAAAATGTGTTTTAAATATTTACCTTCACAATACCAAGAGAAACTTTAATATACTTTTACTATTATTATATTTTATATTAGCTTATATTTTATATTATGCATCTAGAATATTATAGGTCCTAGTGCGAAATTTATATAATGCGTTACACAGACAACACAATTTTCATAGTTTTATAGGATCTAAGATTCAATAGTAAGAGATATCAGAAAATAACAGAATGACTTTCATTAGTAACAGCATCACTAAATTTTAAATAAAGGATAATATATAGATAGTAGATGTAGATCTTTGGGAATATGGAATGTCCAATAGCTGAAAGATATCTTATGAATGCTGCATTATAGAAAAAAGGGTTTCAATTGAGCAAATCAAGAGGATGGAGAAGTAAATACAAAAGAAAAAGATGGGCAGCAGCTAAATAAAGATTATAAAATCTGATATTTTTAGTAACTTAATTTCAATCTAGTTGTAGACAAGATTTTATAGTAGACAGCAGAGTGGAAATACCAGCACACAAGCTATAAAACAAGTTAGAAAACCCTTTTTGTTCATTTGTAACTATTGTCAATATTTAGTTTCATCACAATGATGATTACTGTCTTATTCTTATTGAGTCTAGCTATATGACAGAAGGTCTAGGACAATAAATCTAATATCAATGTGTTATACTTGCATTGTTACTGGCTCTAATATATGTTTTTAATCTTTTACAGGATGCAGTTATATCAGTAATATCCAAAATAAAACAAATTTAATTGTTGATTGACATGTCATCCCTACTTTTTAATTTCAAATAACTTATATTTAAGAGTGATTTGTTTACTACAGGTCACCTGGTAGGTTTACCTGTTGCATATATTATATTAGACAACTAAAAATACAGTTTAACTATTTATCTATTTTACCTATAATTATTCAAACTGTTTTTCTTACCTTTCTTGTCCAGCTGTATCCCAAAGTTGTAGATGAATTCTATGATTTCTGCCTTTTGATTGATATATCTGAAAAACTACTTGTTGTACTTCGTGTGACGTAAGTTAGACACTATCTTACCATTCTCTTTTCTCTAAAATCAATTCCAACTGTTGATATGAATCTTGAATGGAACACTCCATCTGTATATTGGTATAAAAAACTAGTTTTTCCTACTCCTGAATCTCCTAACGCAAGAAATTTTATTAGGTAATCGTATTCCATTCTGAGAAACTAATATTTTTATTTCCGATAATGCTACTGATAAATTCTTAAAAAAATAGATTTACCAAACAAATACATGTCAAATTTATATAGGTTAAAAAATTGATGATCTTCTACTTCTACTCTTTGTAGAATATGTGTACATAACCTATAATTTACCCAGCAATGTGTCAATTGTAAATTTTGATGTATTATTTAAGCTCATTTTTTCATGTACTATATATTGTGTAAAGGTATTAAGCAAAATTTGCAGATCGTCTGTTGATTACGTACTTAATGTTTATTTTATTCAATAATAATGAAAGTCCAAATTTAGTGGTTGACGACTTTTTCAGAGCATAGATTCAAATTTTTTGTTCCTTGTGTTTTATGCTGTGATTTTTTGACAGTGACATGTACGCGTGTCAATAAACTTTCAATATTTTGTTATCATACTGAATTAAATGTCACACTAACTAATGAATATAAATATTTTTGTGTCCGTTTTACGGACATTATCTAGTAATCGTTTGATTTTATGTAGAAATAATTAATTTTATAAGTTTTCAGGCAAATTTATTTAAACACAATTAATAACTAATGGATTTTTATTTCAATACATGTTTGTAAACCGGCTGCAACACTTAACATTCCAACAGGAAATACATTTTCTTAGGTTTAAAAATGTTTGTAGGAGAATTTGGCAAAATAGTCCATTGGGGACCGCTAACTGCTTTAGGTATTACATTTTATTCGCAGTTATTTTATTTAATTCTTTGGATTTTAAAGAATTTAAATTAGTAATTCATAAATTTAATAAAAATCACCTTTTTAGGAATTATTAAGATTGTCACAGCCATGACTATACACTGTTCAAATATGTGGTGGCCAAGAAGTACTATAGGTGGAAAACTTAATTTTTTAGTTTTTGTGGGATTCTCTGGTCTCACCTTATATAATTTTCTGTCTTCTATGTATCATGGTCCAGGCTATTTAATACTTAATTGGAGACCTGTAAGTTTAATAGATACTTATTATTAACATACTGTTTAGACACATTTAAAAATATTAGTTTATTTTGGAGAAATAGTAAATTGACAACGTTTGGAAGTTGTCTTGGTTCAGATGGACTAGATAATAGAAAAGTTCCATTGTATTTAAGATATAATTCAGTTTGGTGTTTGAAGAAAATATTGAATTATTGGACTAGTGTAGGAATTGTCTTAAAGAAAAATCTTAAAATGCCCTTGATAGTGTGTCAGATATGTACATGCTTTTTCTTGGTTTGTATGACACAACTAAATCATAATCTAATAATTTTAATCTCATTTTCAGGATTCTTGGGGAAATTGACTGTAAATCTTTTTTAAAAATTGATTCCAGTGGTTTATGATCACTGTGGACTTTTACACAATCTCCATAGACAAAGTAGTGAAACCTCTTTACAACAAATAAAATAGCTAGAGTTTCTTTTTCTATTTGAGCATACTGCTGCTCAATTTTTGTAAGGCTCCTGATGTAAAGACCACACATCTGCCTTCTTAACATGCCCATGCCAATCCATCTTTTGATGCATCTGTTTCAATTTCTGTTCTGGATCAAATACTGATCAGAACAGATGCTTTAGTTGATCCAGTGAATCTTGATGCTCACTTGACCACTGTCAAGTTTCTTAACAGGATAGATAGTTTTGATAGGCTTGGTAAGAACTTGGCTACATATTTTACCCTTCCTAAAAATGTAGCAACAACTTGTTTGCACTCTGGTGTAGGCATGTCTAAGATTGCTTTGATATATTTATCACTTGTTTTCACACCATCCTTTGAAAATAGCTGATCCGTGTATTTAACACTACTTTTTTTACCTGTACCTTGGACTTATTGAACTTTGTTATTTAGGTAGCACAGTCAAGGCATCAGTGACAATTAAATCATCAAAGTAAAGGCCTACGTCTTTTCAAAATTCTTTTTCTGGAATACTTCTGGGGCTGAGCAGATAGCGAAAGCCAGTCTATAAATTGATACCTACTAAATGGTGTGCATTAAATCTGCACTTTCATCATCCAGCTGCACTTGCCAATAACCATCCTTCATGTCTAAAACAGTACAGAACTGTCCTTTACAAAGTAGAGTTACAATTTCATCAACAGAAGGAATTTGAAAGTGTTCTCTCTTTCAAATTCACCATGTTTATACTTTAATTTTAAGATCATATAAATTATTAGGTGTTAAATTGTAATTTGTGTCCATAAGTTGTAAACCCAATAAAAATTTTATTTATTTTTAGGATAAAGAAGAGCATTGCAAAAATTTACAGTTTTGTTTAGAATGCCAGGGTTATAAAGCCCCTAGATCACACCATTGTCGAAAGTGTAAGTAAGCTATGTACATAATGTCTGTTCAATAAAAAAATACCTTTTGCTTCTTCCATATCATATAACAATCATATAATAATCATAATCATATAATATAACAATTATATTATGAAATTTTAATCAGCAGAATTACATAGTAATGACATTTCATTGAAATTTCTTGTATCAACAAATAATATTCCCAAGTTTATCATTTTTTGTGCATGTTGAATAGTTTTTTTGCGTAATATATTCTACGGCTTATTCCTAGTGTCTATCTGGCATAATCAGAAAGTGAACAGGATTTCTGGTGTACTTAATATAATACTAATAATGTGAATTAAAGCAAATAATGGTCAGCAGTGTTCGTTTGTCAGCGACTCAAAATATCGAACATCTGTTTGTCAAGAATGTGATTGGCCACATCTACAAGTTTATATTTGCAGCTGCCTACTTTCCACCACATAGTATCATTGAGAAGTATATTGAATTTGCAGAAAATGTAGATAATCTAGCTGAAAAGTATCCAGAATATAAGTTATGTATCGTTGGAGATTTTAATCTTTCCAATTATTGTCAGTGGTCCATTGATGGATTGTCTTATGTGGCTACTTCATAACCAGAATCTCACCAAATGAAGTCGATTCCATTCATTTCATTTTTTTTATGTTCCTTTCATAATCTCTATCAAGTAAACACTGTTAAAAATGAAAACAACTCCTAATTAGATCTAGTCATGGTCCAAGATGAAGAGGTTGAGATATCTAGAGCTGAGAGTGTCCTACTCCCAGAGGATAGACATCATCCTCCAGTTTCATTTGGGTTTAAATGTGAATCTAAATATTTTAGTAAGCCAGGATTGATTGGAGATGGCTTTTATAGAGACTTTAGCTCAATGAGTTTACGGGAAGTAACAAACTTTCACAATTTAACTGGGATGATTTATTTAAAGATAAAAGTCTTAATGATATGATCAACATGTTTTATGATGTTATTTACCTTGCAATTGATATTTTTGTTCCCCTGAAAAAGTATTCAACTAAAAGATTTCTGTCTGGTTTTCTTCAGAGCTTAAAAAACAGTAATAAAAAAAAAGAAGAAAATGCTTAAAAAATATATAAAATCTTAATTATTTGCCGACTCTAAACAACTGAAAGAACAATGCTATCTTGTTTATTATGTTGCTCTAACTGAATCCTCTCTGAAAGATAATGTTAAAAATTTCTGGAAATTTGTTAACAGTAAAAAAGCAGAAATATTCCTTCTGTTATGCACTATAATAATATTTCTGGCTCTTCAGGCATGGAGATTGTCAATTTATTTAATACTTTTCCAAAACTTATACTGATAAAGATTTTGATTTGCAGGATGAAACCTTTTTAACAGGAGACACCAACCTATCACAATTTAGCATTTCTATTTCGTCTATATATGATAAACTTTCCAGTTTGTAAAGGGCCAGGTCCAGATGGTCTTTCACCTTCTTAAACACTTTGGTTTTTTTTAGTCCTCTTTAGACCTCTTTTTCACATTTTTAACCTGTCATTAAAGACACGGATGTTCCCGGTCTACTGGAAAACTAGCTTTATTACTCCAATACTAAAATCTGGAGATAATTCTCAAGTGAACAATTACCGGCCTTGTAAGACTTTCTAAATATCCCATCCATAAAAAGTTTGTATTGTTCACTTGTGAGACCCCACCTAGATTACTGTTGGTGTTTGATCATGTGTTTGATCTCCTCACTATAACACCCATATTCAAGCTATTGAAAGAGTTCAACACAAATTCTCAAGATTTGTTGAATTTAAACAAAACCTGAGGATTGAAGTAATTAACTACTCAAATATGAAAAGGTTCCTCAACATAACTTCTCTCCAAATCCGACGCGTGCACAAAGATTTCACTACAAGACTATGTCAATGCTTTTATGTTAGACCCCATCATACAAACTACGGACAACATTTCTTTACATCTAGAACACCAAGGTTTGCTAATCAATATTCCCAAAGGTTGGATTGTTACAGTTTTCCAAAAACATTTAAAGCTCAGCTTAAGAACTGTGTGTGATAGCTTGATGTCCTCGTGTTTTGTACATTCTTTGTTAATGTTTATTATTTACTGTTCCTACTTTTATTTTTTGTATGATTAAAATTTTTAAATTTAATTTAAGAATCTACCTATGCTAAGAATCTTCTGTAATTTATCAATATTGTTTACATTGTATTTTAATTGGCGATTGCCCGTTGATAAATAAATAATAAAAATAAATAATAATGGCTCAGCGCATGGTTCTTCTGTGTTATGTGCAGTTGTTAGTTAATTATTTTATTCTTTTATTAATCTAATATTTCCACAGTGGCAGAACAATTGTAGGGAAAAACTATTTCCAAATATTGACCTATAAACCCACAAAACATTGTATCATGATAACACACTGACTTTAAAAGTATATAATATTTTGATAACTTTATTTTGTTTTTGCCAGGTGGTCGTTGTGTTTTAAAAATGGATCATCACTGCCCGTGGATCAATAATTGCGTGGGCTGGGGTAACCACGCACATTTCATCTTTTTCTTAACGTTTGCAACTGCCGGATGCCTGCAAGCCTCAGTGATATTGGGATGTTGTTTGTATAAATCCATACATAGAGTAAGGTACTTTTATCACGGAGATACATCAGTAAATTTTGGTCTGTATGGGATGATGTTATGTGTTCTTTCACTTGGCTTGTCCATTGGGGTGGTGGTAGCTGTAGGAATGCTTTTATTTTTTCAGGTAAGCTACAGCAACTTGAACTATTTATGTGTGTTTATTAGATTGATGTAATTCGGTATGTAATGATTTTATAATAGCTATGTAAATTAATTTAACACCTTGATTGCGTCACGTATCCCCAGGGGCATGTGCATAATTTTTCAACTGTGCTGTAGTAAAATTGGGTCGTTTTAAGTGTAACAAATAGCTATCGATAGCAACTTTTTAATTCTCGCTACTGATGTCTCTTATTGTTACTGTGCATCACAGACCCTGGGAGGCATGTGTCATTGCCAACTTGATGTGTGTTTCAACTTGTCGGTGCTTGTCGCTGTATACAGTATGGTGGAAATGAAAGGAATAAATTCATTATTTCGTAAACCGGAGTGTTAGGACATTTTTATACCAAATAACATTTAATTAGAAAATTAGTTTAGTGCGGCAACATAAAGCCTGTCACATGTCGGTGTGTTTTGTGTTCCAAAAAAAAACAATCTGACAGGATCAAGTCGGCAAGTGACATAACTGAGACATTATTCAAATAATTTCCAAAAAGACGTCACGTTTTCATTATTCACAAATTCACGTGTATTAAGTAGTTTGTATTGTATAAAGTTACTAAATATAATTCTATTTATTTGCACAAAAATAATTTACAGTCCACACCAGGTTAATAACATTTATCTACCATAAGATAATCCAACACGGAGACTTTAAGGAAAAATCCTGAAACCCGTCGATTTTTATTTTTAAATAAGTTATTCGTAAGAATACATTTTTATTTTTGCCGTCATCTATGTGAGCGTGATGACGTCATTGCTAAAATGTTTTAATAGAAAGGGGGTGTTGTAATACATCATTTGAAAGGTCTTTTAAATACCTATTCAGCTATATTAATATGTCTAAATAATTAAAGTTTGTAATTGTTTAAAAAAAATAATTAAATTTTTATTATTACAATAAATATTTATTAAGTATTATTCAATAAATACAACGAAACCTAAATTAAGTGCTCAAATTGTTTACCGTCAGCTAAAATACAATCAGAAAGGCGTGCCGCGAACTCTTCTCTAAAATTCTCTAAAACTTCCGGAGTTATTTGAACAACCTCATTACGTATTCTTTCTTTCAGTTCATTAATATTTTGTGGTCTATTTTGATACACCTTACTTTTTAAATATCCCCATAAAAAGAAATCAAGAGGACTCAAATCAGGTGACCTAGGCGGCCATTCTATTTTCCTATTCGACCTATCCATTGGTTTGGAAAGACGTTGTTTAAGTAGTTGCGTACCAAGACAGCATAGTGTGGAGGCGCACCATCTTGCTGTAGCCATAAATCATTTCTGTTTGGAAACAACCGGTTCAATTCTGGAAGCAAGAAATTTTGAAGAAATTCTAAATATCGAGGATCTGTTAAGTTTTCTTCGAAAAAGTATGTTCCAATACACCTAGTATCTATTATTCCCACCAAACATTAATTTTCTCTGGGTATTGAGTACGGTACTTTTGCATCCAGTGTAGATTTTCCGTAGCCCAGTACCGATAAGTTTGACGATTGACATGACCGTTTAGTAGAAATGTAGCTTCATCAGAGAAAATAATCTTTTGTAAAAACATCGGATCTCTGTTATTTCGTTCCATTATAATGTCACAAACTTTAATTCGTCTATCAAAATCATCTTCCATAAGTTCTTGTACTAAACTTACTTTGTAGGGATGCCACTTTCCCTTCTTTAGCTGTTCAAGAACTGTTGAATGGTCCATGTCATTATCTAATGCTACTTGCCGTGAACTGTTATGAGGATTATCTTGAAAAGGTAACAGAACGTCTACTTGTTGGTTTTCAGATATTGGTTTTCTACTACCTTTAGGAAGGTCTTTAACATGACCCGTTTCTCTAAATTTTTTCTCAATTTTGCTTACAGTGGATTGTGAAATTGGTTCTCGACGGGGGTATTTATTATTAAATAACGCACATACTTCTTTCTGCGTATGTGTTTTATCTCCATAACCAATCATTATGAGAATTTCAATTCTTTGCGTTTCAGTTAGCTTCATGTTCAAAGATACAAAGACTTTTTGAATACGTTTACTACAATAATACTATTAATCACTTGACAGAAAGATAATTAAGTTCAACTATCAATGTTCATATTGATAAGGTAACTAGTTTTTTTTTTAAAAGGTAAAAAGTAGATAAAAAAGACATTAATAAATATTTATTGTAATAATAAATATTTAATAATTTTTTTAAACAATTACAAACATCAAATACTCAGACATATTGATATGGCTGAATAGGTATTTAAAAGTCCTTTCAAATGATCTATTACAATACCCCCCTTTCTATTTAAAAATTTTAGCAATGACGTCATCACGCTCACATAGATGACGTCAAAAATAAAAATGTATTCTTACGAATAGCTTATTTAAAAATAAAAATCGACGGGTTTCAGCATTTTTCCTTAAAGTCTCCGGTTTACGAAATAACGAATTTATTCCTTTCATTTCCACCATACTGTATATTTAGTTTCAGTTTATTGTAGTTCATTAAAGTGCGAACAGTACATGTTAAAATGTCGTAAAGAGCAAGACATATGGTTAATATGTATAGTGAAACAAAAGGTGATGAAATATGCAAATGAGCAAACAATCAGTGATCATAAAAACTTTGGGGGGAGTTAAATACTATTTTAAATGAATTACATATGATAATACAGGGTTGATTGGATGTCATGAAAATTTTAATAATGAAAACGAACAGCAGTTTATACGAACAGAAAGAGAACACGAAGTGGATAACGAACAGGCTGATGAACTCGATATGGAGAATGAGCAGATAGCAACTCAATCTTCATCTGATACCGACAGTATCGAAGATACCTTTGACAGTGACGATTCATTGCTAGAAAAAAGTTATTTTCCTAAATCTTCTTCATCCTCTGATTTAAATTCTTCTATTGATAGTGGTGACGAAATTATTACACCATATGAGCAAGTTCCATAAGATAATAATGAACAGAGTGTTGAGAATAGTGATAGTGATGAATGGTGTGATTTAGAAGAAGATGTAGATGGTGACGATTTTGTAGTAAGAAATAATACATTAGTTGGAATTGAACCACATGCGGTACAGAAACCAATAGACGTTTTTAGTCATTTCGTAACTGATGAAATATTGGATATTATTGTTAATAAAACCAACATTTATGCTGTTCATCAATTAAGCATGTGACACTCAAGAAAATCCCGGTCAAATTTATGGACAGCCACAAACAAAACTGAAATGAGAGCCTTCCTATGGGTAATAATCGCAATGAGTCTCACTCAAGTACCACATTTAAATTTGTATTGGTCTAAAGATGATATATTTTATAATAAATTTATAGCAAAAGTTTTAACTCAAGACCGCGTTTTTCTTTTATTGAAACTTCTTCATTTTGAAAATAATGAGACATCTGATACCACTGATAGATTATTCAACATAGAAAATTCAGTTACGAAGTTGATTCAAAATTTTCAAAGAATAATAGAGCCTGGCAACATTCTCGTTATAGATGAATCTATGGTACCTTTCAGAGAGAGACTCCATTTTCGTCAGTACATCCCCAACAAGACTAATAAATATGGAGTGAAACTATACAAACTCGGTTCTTCTGAAGGCTATACTTTCAATGTAAGTATTTACACAGGAAAAAATGGACAACAACCAGTTAATGTAGCACACTCTGAAGCAGTTGTTCTAAAATTACTTAAGTGTATTACAAATAATTTGGCAAAATATGATTTGCTGATGACTTTTATTTAGGAATACCTCTCGTTAAAAGATTGTTAGCAGAAAATATTATGTACTGTGGAACTCTAAGAGGAAACAAAAAAGGAATACTACCTTTCTTAACCAGTCCAAGGAAGCCAACAAAGGTCATTGGAAAAAAGAAAGATGGACTAAGAATTATTAAGTGGATGGATAAGAGACCTGTGTTAATGATTTCAATTGTCCCAGTCCATACTAAGCAGTTGATTCCAACAGAAAAGCAGAATAGGCATAAAGAGAAGATTATGAAACCGAAATGTATAATTAATTACAACTCTGCAAAGAAAGGCGTATACTATTCTGACCAGATTATATCTTACCATCCAGTGCTCTAAGCTTCAAATAATTTCGGCAAGAAAAAAAATAAGTTATAATTTTAATATCTCTTTCTTATTAATTTTTTTTAGGAAAGTAGTATGTGAGATGGTACTGGGAACAGTTATTGTTAAACGTTTAATTATATTCATTATGTGCTCTGAAACAAAAATGAGCAATACAGAATTTAGACGTGAGTTAGCTTATAATTCAATACAATCACCTGAAGAAAAACCACTTCCAGAAAAAAGAGTGCATACTTTAACCAAACCTGAAGGATCTGGAAGGAAACGACAAAAGCCATGTAGAGGCTGTCGTTAAGTATTAAAATCTTCAGGATTAAGTTACCGTGAAGTGGATAAAAAATTCCGTAGGATTATAACTCTTTGTTCCGATTGCCCTGGACCACCTGGATACTGTTTGCCTTTTTTTAATATGGAACATAGTTAATAAGAAGAGGCAGAAATTACCATTCAATTTTAAAATGCGTTTTTTCTGTTTATTTTAATACAAATTATTTTGTTTTTATAAACATATTTAATTTTATCCAATTACCTCCAAGAGAACAATTGTTTAGCTGTCTGTGCTACACCGGATGTTGGCGGCATGTCCTGATTGAGAGGAAAGTAGGTTAAAACTTCTATAATAGTTTTCTGTGTGTAATATATGCAAAAGCTATACTTCTGTGTACTAGACGGCATGAAGTACTTACATGTGCACACATGCCACAGGGGGCGTGTGATGCACAGACAGAATAGACCATAACGTATCTCCGGGGAATGTGACGCAAGAACTAGTACAGTGGAACCTCGATTATCCGTCTCTCTATTAACCGTCACCTCTGTTAACCGTCAGGGTCCATACATAAGTTATATTGACATCATAAGTAAAAATTTAGGTATCAATTCATTTTGTTTGCAAACAATTTTCCACCAAAGACGATTCTCATTTTGGAAAATGCACCTGGCCCATCCTAAAGCCGGTATGCTGCGAGTTGACGATAAAAATAACACGTACTCTATTCTGTCTACGAATGCAACATCATTGATGCAGCCAATGGATCAGTCAGTCATTTAAACATTCAAAAGAAGATACAGAAAAAAAATTATTCAAAACCTAGTTATGGAAGAGTAATATTATTTGCCAGAATATTTAAAACACGTCGACAATGCTGTGGATACGAGGGCTGATGTTTCGGAAGTAACGCTGAAAAGAGCGTGGAATAAGTTATGACCTTAATCAACTTAAGATGAAAATACTCCCCTTAAATGAAGTTATGGCTGAACCAACTGTTTTGTTTGCGTTGACTAAAAATGACATAAACGAATGGTTAATTTGTGATGAAGACGCAAATGGCTATCGATTGTTGACAGATGATGAAATAATTGAAATGGCAACAGAGGCGGACGAATCTGATTCAGAAGTTGACAGAAACTTTGATGGTGGCGATGTTGATGATGCTATTACAACTCACAAAGGTTTGTAGATTTGCCTAAATAAGCTAGAGGAGCTGTATCGCACATACAACAATTCATCAAGTGGTATTCTCGGCAAAAAGAAGCAAATAAGGTAGATTTGATGATTGTACGGCGATTAAGAACTTCAGCCGTTGCAAAATGTGAAGACAGATTTCGGAATAATTTAAATCAAATTGATTCGAGTGTACTAACAAAAATCCCTCTTATATTGTCAAATAAAACATACAAAGAAAATTTAAGAGTTAGAATATGATTTTTTTTAATGTTCTGTTAACCGTCTTTTCGATTACCCGTCAGACCCTTGGTCCGGTGCCCTGACGGATAATCGAGGTTCCACTGTATATTAAGTATTTAACCACCCCGGTCAAGGTGTTAAGATGATGTAAATTCAGTGGAATCACAGGAGGCATATACATGAGAATATTGAGACAATCAAGTTCCTTGATACTACTGCCATTATTACAACATTGAAGAAGACAAAACCTTTGAACTAGTTTGAATGATGTGCGTGTGTGTGCATGTGTAGAATAGTGCATCATTTCGTTAGTTTAGACAAGAAAACCCATAGAAAAACTATTAATGAGAAGGAACATTAGTAATTTAGATTATATTAAAGTTGTTTATGGGTCATTTATAAATAGCTTATGATTATTAATAAAAAAATTTATTTTTTGGAAATTGCTCATTAAAAATTTAATATCGTACAGAGAAAATTGTATTAGCTTCATACTTTCATCATGTCAGTCATATCAAATAATATAAATGTAATAGTTACAATAAATAAACAACATAAGAACAAGAGTGTCATCCTCTAAGATATTGTTAATTTTTTTTAAAATAATATTAATAATGTAACAACTAGAACAAAACTACGAGATTCGGCAAAAATGTTGACATTAGCCTTCTACGAGCATGTACCACACTACACAATAGAAAATATCTCTTGCGATATTGGCGCTGTCTGGCGGTGATACTAAGTACTTATCGGATCGCCGTCATAGATATAAATTTTGATTACTAACTTGAAATTCAGGACAGCGTATACTTGTTTGTAATATTTGTGCTAAAAAATAAAAAAATTAACTTCAAATTTTTTGCGTCCATTAAGGATATTTGGGGGAGTCGCTGCACCCAGGGCACCCCACTCTAGCCACGCCACCCTATTTATTTAATTTTTTTTTCTCCTTAGATTAGAGCTGTTATGAAAAATAGAACAGGTATAGAAGACTGGATTATGGAAAAAGCCGTTGGTCGTAGGAAAGGAACGCAAGAACAATTTCGATTTCCATACGATATAGGGATCTGGAGAAACATAGGTCAAGTAATAAACTTTAGTTGTCAGCCTGTTGGTGACGGTATCATGTCTTGGCCAGTCGCCGAAGGATGCCATGAGTTTTCGCTTACTGTAAGTATCTTTGAGTTTTATCTTGAGAGTTTATATGTGTAGCGATAAAATTTGCCTATCACATTGGGTATTACTTATAAGGGGTTGAAATTTGGGACAGAAATTACTGGACTGGAGATAGGGTAAGCAAACAAACCGAAATGTCTACAAACGGCCACTCTTATTTTGGTTGGGGAGCTGGATCGTAGGTAAGTGAATAAAGGAGGGACTGGAAAGGGGGTAACTACAAAAAGAGAAATAAAAAAATACTGACATAAATTTTCTGGGCAACAATCAGAAGAAAGTTCCTAAACTATTTTAATTTGGACGCTGTTGAAATATTGTCGCCGTTGTATTGAAATATATAATTTTAATAATTACTTTACTTCGGTAGCGGGAAAACACCTGTTAGTGATACTGAAGTAAGGAATACATTATACAGCTTGAAAAACTCAAAATGCACTGATTTTTACTTCTTAAACAAACAATTAGTGATAGAAACTCTGGATATTATTATTGATAAACTGGTCATACTCTATAATCTTTGCCTTATCGAAGGAATCTTTCCCGATGTATTAAAAGTAACAAAAGTGTTACCGCTACTCAAAAAAGGATCTTCAGAAGAAATTGAAAATTATTGCCCTATTTCTATTATTCCCATTCTTGGTAAAATTTTTGAAAGTATTTTGAATAACCGTTTAATAGAGTACATAGAAAAGTACAAAATACTTCATTGTAATCAATATGGTTTCAGAAAAAATGCAGCACTACTCAAGCAATTCAGGAAATTGTAAGGGAAGTAGTTGATGGCCTAGAGAGAGGTCACTTCGTGTCCTTAACATTGTGTGACTTATCTAAGGCTTTTGATTGTGTCTCACACACTTTACTTTTAAACAAAATGCACAAATATGGCATAAGGGGAAATGCTCTTAATTTATTTCGATCGTATTTAATAAACAGAAAACAGGCCGTTTTTTTAAATAATAACTACTCCAATTTTCACAATGTTGAACATGGAGTTCCCCAAGGGTCTATATTAGGACCTACATTTTTTCTTCTATATCTCAACGATATATTTCATTATACCCACCCCTTAAGGTGTATATGTTTTGCAGATGATACAACCGTTATTAGTACCGACCAGAATCAATATAATTTAAATAACAAAATAGGAAACGATGTGCTTAAAATTAAAAACTGGTTTACACATAATAAACTAAAACTAAACGAGGATAAAAATCAAAATATAGTTTTCAGTTCAGATCGAAGACACATTTTTGGATATAGCATCAAATTGTTAGGGATTTTTATGGATGACAACTTAGATTGGGGCATCCATATAGACAACTTAAGTTCTAAACTCGCCAGTACAATATTTGTAATGCGTAACCTGGTTTATTTGGTACCTAAAAGTACCCTTAAAATGTGTTACTTTTCATTGTTTCATAGTCATATACAATATGGAATAGCTGTTTGGGGCAACTCTGGTCATGCCGACAGAATATTTAAATTACAAAAGAAGGTGGTGAGGATACTTGCTGGAGCGGATTTAAGGGATCATTGTAAACCATTATTTTTGAACATGGGTATTATGCCTCTACCTTCGCTTTATATGTATGCAACACTGTTGGAAATTCACGATAATAAAAATAAGTTTACTATAAACTCCCAATTACATGATCATCTAACAAGATCGAGGGATTTAATTAGGTCACAACGATTCAGACTATCAAAGAGCACAAAGAATTCAATTGATATTCACTTGTATAACTATCTGCCTAACGAAATAAAAATTCTGTCTCCACCACTGTTTAAAAATAGGATCAGAAAGCATTTTTTAACATATTGTTTTTACTCAAAGACAGAATACCTCAATACACCTTTATAACGTGTACCCAGTTTGGTCAGAATACTGTCGATTTACTATCTACATATCACATTGTATTATTGCTATTAAAATGTACTAAGTTTTATGTATTAGTTTATTTAGTCATCGATTCGGGAATATTCTTAATTATTTGTACATTTTTGTTACTTCCATATTTCAAAGATTTTTTATGTGACAGTTTAGGTTTGTTTTTTTTTGGTTAGAGATGTTTTTTATCTTAAATTTTTAATTTTAATTCTTCTGCTAATACTTACATATTATGTATATTACTTTAGCCAATATGGTTAAGTTAATTTTAAGTTTACATTATTATATCTTTTATTGTATTTTTTATACGGACTTCAAACTTTATGTAAAGTGGTCAATAAACGTTCTATCTATCTATCTATCTATCTATCTATATTACTTAAATTTTAAAATTGATTGCCTTTAAAACAAGACTAATATGACAATTAGCTAATCCATAAAACTTATAATTTCATTCATTTAAAATTTTTAGTTTGTCATGAAAGCAAATTTTTTATTAACAAAAAATTGTTTATTTTTACTTTGAATAATTTTAATAAAAATTACCTGGCTGATGTATTTTATTTAAGAAACTGTTTGGGATCGGAATTGAACCAAAACACTGCAAAAACACACAACTGTGTCCCACACAAGCTAGAATTGGCCTGAAGTGACCATGGAACACAAATATGGACAATTCTTGGCAAGATTTGGGCTTCGGATTAACCTGGATGACAACAAACTGCAATCTTCAGAACTCGTCCACTGAATTTCTTCTTTAAACCATGTGGACCTCTCAAATGGTTGGAAACGCCGTCTTAAAAATCCCTCAGATAGGACACAGCACAAAACAATCGGTGATTAACTTAACAAAAACTACCAAATAACATTTTGAACACAAATTCACCTTTCAAATTGAAAAAAATTGCCGGCTATTAAGACTACACCGGAAATCTATCTCCTATTATAATCTTAACTTCTCTGTTTTTTTTTTTTCGTCTCGGTTTACTCGACCTTCGTCACTTAAACTCCACACTACTACTATACTACACATTTTCCATAACAAAATACATAACAAAAGCGAACAACGAACAGGCAATAACGAAATTGACGAAAATCCGGCCTAAACAAAGAAACCAAACGGTTTGGCGTTTCATCGTAGAGTAATTTCATTCTCTAAAAACCGGTCTCTTGTCCGCATCAGCGAAAAGATTCCTGTTTATTTGGCAATATTCAATAGACGGCATCAAAATCAAACAGATGCAATTAAAATTATTATATACAGACCAGAAATGTTTATATTATCAATCCCAACGAAGCAAAAGGATTGGGAAAATATAGTTGATACATACGAAAGGAAATTGAAATGCTATAACTTTCTTCCACGAATTCATATCTTTACTTAACCACATTACTCTTTTGTTTAAGGTTGAACAAATAGAACAGAAACAAGAAAAGAGGCTAAAATCTAGAGTTTATAAAATTGTTAAGCCCGCTTCTGGATATTGGTTTCCTATAACTTTCGGAATAAGAGTTTGCTTAAATTACCCATTTAATGATGAGCCGAGAATAAAGTTAGATATTGGAGATTCTGTAGTAGTTACTAGATGGAGAAGGTAAGTTGGACGGTGTTTTGCAACAACCATCTAACCCACATTTGTTTACAAATGAGTTTAGACGTGTTAAATTGTCGATCATAATGCATACTATATCAAGCAAAAATGATATAAGCCATATCTATACTCATGGATGCGTTTGTGAACTAAGTTCTAAACCACTTTCGTCAAATAATATGAAAACAGAAATTTGTAAAAATAATCTAACCCATGTTTTCATTATAAATATGTGGGTTAGACTTTTGTTGCAAATCTTTGTAAGGGTCTTTTCATTGTGTGCACCAGATGCAAAATATTAAATTAATAAACAAATATTTATTTTGACTTAGACTCGTCTTATTAAGAGACAAGAAATTTCTTATTACACTAATAGTAGAATTTTATTTAAATAAATAAAATTACACCAAACTAGAGGCCTTATCTTTAATGGTAAAATATGAAAGTATGTTATTTAAAACTGTGAATTTTCTGTGTCGTCAGCTCGGAAATTGATTAAAGAAATTTTTAAATTCCTTTTATCACAGATAGTGTACCGACAAGGTAACATAATATGTTTTGCGATTACTCGTATATTGATGTCATAAATGCTGACAAAAAATTACATTATCATATAACAAACATATTGGAACTGTTGCTTGATTGTCAAAATTCTGGTCAGCAAAATATTGTATGCCTTTTTAACAAAGGAGTTTGATATTTCAACATACTGTTTTAAACTTTACGAGTGCGGCAAGTTGTTATTATTTGGGTGTAATATTTTAAAGCAAAATACCACAAACTTGGTGTTCTTACTTCAGTAACTATAATTTTTATTATTCGAGGTACGTATACAGAAATATAAATATATCAAGTTTAACATTAGCTATGTTAGTCGTGTAGTGGGGTTAGATCTTTTTTGCTAACTGCACTATAACACAAAATTTATTTTTTATTGCATTTGTAAAAAATGTTTTTTAAATGTAACATTTTTACTTCGTAATAACATATTAAAACTGGATGTTTTAAGCGAGTGCCTAATACTCTAATTTTATTTTAGACGATGGATATTTCAAGAGTAATCTATTAGCGAACCTGGGAATTCAATAATTTCAACAAACTTTGACCACTGATCCTCGAGACCAAGAAACAAGTAGTTCCTGTAGCACTCAGAAAACTATATCTGCTGGATTTTTATGAGCCACACCAGTCCTCTGGCAGTGAATATTTTTCTGAATCCGAGGAAACTGATTCTGCAGAAGAAACGAGAGACCAAGAGGATATGGAAATCTATTTAAATATAACAAAAAATGATGGCAGAAAGAAACGCGGAAGATCAAGAAAACACTAAATCAATCAAGACCAGACCGAAAAAAGTTTGCAAATTGTAACCAAAAATATGTTTCGGCAAGAAACAAAACTGTATTACCTAAAAAGTTTACTGAAGATTACTGTTGTCCATGTTCAAGAAAATGTCACAATATTGTAAATGTTGAAACGATTTGAAGATTTTTTGGTAAATTTTGGAGTATAGGATCATTTGAAGGGCGCTGTGCTTTACTTAGCAAATATGTTGAAGAGAGCAACAAGAAAAGATGTTACACAAAAAACCAAACATCAAGAAGAAGTAAGCCAAGAAAATACTTTATAGATGGCAATCTCGTTTGCAAAGAAACCTTTTTAAATACACTTCAGATCAACAATAATACAGTCCGCGTAGTCTTAGATCAAATAAAAAGTAATGTTATTAAAGATAAAAGGGGTATACATAGTGGTGGAAAAAATGCAATTGATGAAGAAAGGATTGAAAATATTAAGATGCACATGGCGTCATTTCCAACATATGTGTCACATTATTGTCGCAATTAGACGGACTCCAAATTTTTATATTCTGACCTGAATTTATCAAAAATGTATCAATTCTACACAGATACTACAGAAAACCCAGTGAGTCTTAGGAAGTATAAAAGCGTCTTTTATTCAAATTTTAATTTAAAGCTTAAGACACCACATAAGGATACATGTCGAATGTGTGATACGTACAAAGCCCAAATTAGTTCTGCACAGGCTACACACAAGGAGAATTTAGAAAGAAATCACAGGGAACATCTTGAAATTGCAAATGAGTTAAGGAGTGAAATGAAGGCTGATCTAATATGCGCGCAAGAAGATGAAACACTGGAGACCCTGACATTTGATCTCCAAAAAACTCATCCTTTACCAAAAATACCGACTGGAGTCGCATATTATAAAAGACAATTAAATTTACTTAATTTAGGTGTTTATTTCGGCAGTACAAAAAGAGGTATTTTCAATGTATGGATAGAGCAAAAGACAGACAGGGGAACACAAAAAGTCGGTTCATGTCAGCGTAAATATATTAATGAAAATATAAAGGCACCCGTAAAGTACCTAATTCTATGGTGTGATTCTTGTGGGGGGGGGCAGAATAGAAGTATTAAGCTAGTGTTAATGCTTATTCACATACTTTAAAACCATTCGTCCCTTGAATCCATTTCGTTAAAATTTTTACTTTCTGGCCACAGTTTCCTGCCTAATGATTCACATTTCGGAGATGTCGAATGCGCTCTTAAAACTCATCAAAGACTGTACACTGACAACGATTACATAGGAATAATGAGATCTTGCCGAGTAAAAAATAAATTTGTTGTAAACCGTCTAAGATCTGAAGAAATGGTTTCAGTTAGTCTTTTGCTACAATCCATAACAAATCGCAAAACAGATATAAATAAGGATGTTATTAATTGGCTAAAAACACATGTAATACATATTACAAAGGAAAATCCCACAATTTTGTACATGAAAAAACATGTGAGAGATCAACAATGTTCGGAGGAAAATATTGAAAAATCAGGTAAAGGTCGAAAACCTGTTTTAAAGAATGTAGAGTTGCCTTCCTTGTGGCCAAATGGCAAATCACTGTCCGCTGAAAAAATTAAGGACCTTAACGATTTGTCTAAGTTAATTTCCCAAGATGCCATGCCTTTTTATGGAGTTTTGGACAACATCAGCTATGAAAATTTTGAAGATTTGGAAGGAATTGGGTTACATCCCGATTCCGATATCAGCTATGAAGAAGATTTGGAAGGAATTGGGTTAAATCCCAATTTGGAGATTGACCAAGATCAAATCGAGTAGAAATTAAATAGTAACAGGTACTTACTATTTGTAATGAACTCGGATTCGAAGTTTTTTCTGTGTGTTTACTATTTCGGAGTGATAGACGGTTATTGCAAAATGACGAACTTATATTTTTACCATTTTGCAAAAACCGTCTAAGCCGCTTTAAGTTATTTTTGCAATAAACTGTTTTTACTTATTTTGCTTTTGTACGTTTTTTAAGGTAGCCTGTAATTATTGAAATATAAAAATGTGAAAATTAAGCCTTATTTTCTGTCAGTTAATTTTTAAAGTAGGTAGATACGTTATGCTCATTTACTCGAAACCATATATATGTGGCTTAGACTATTATTGCAGAACACTCTCTAGTTAATATTCAAAATATTTGCAAATTTCATTATTTTGTGGTATCATTACATACAACGCTCGGTAGTTGCACTGACATGTCTTAATCTGTCTGACTAATGGTGCTAAGATGTCGTTCGAGTCTTAATGAACCGAACGTCAAAATTACTGAATAATTCTTTAACCGATATTTTTGCAACCATAGAAGTTTCATATTTTGGGATGGTATAGGCCCGGTGTCTGGTAGTAGCGCTTCTCAGTGATGCTTGAAATTAACTTAACTAAAGTTTTTTGGGATTTAATATAAACTTTATTTTTAGGCATTGGCTTTTTGGTGAAAAAATACAAGAAGTTCCGGCAGGACAGCCAGTTGAACGAATTAAGGGGTGGTTTCCTAGGCGGTGTGCCGTTGAAGTAATTGAAAACAGTAATTCTCCAGCTTCCAACAACAGACAGATTAATGGTCAACATTATAAGAAGAATAAATAAAAATATTTATTGTGTTGTGTGTTTCTTGTTCCTTCTTTTCAGTTGCTGCGAAAAATTACGGAACTTTACTTTACTTTTCCGAGTCTGGATTCGACTACAGTTTTTCTGCCCAATATCGGGCTACGTCTACAGCCTTTGTATTTGCAGCCATAAATCATCGAGGGTGCACTGTGATGGGCAAAGTCTGCATACTCTCAGGTGCTCCACGTTCTGTATTTCCCCGCATTCACAGAGTGCCTCGCTATGTCTTGATGCCCCATTTAATGAGGTTCTGTTTTACAGGGGCAACACCTGTGCGCATGCGGTTGAGTGTTCGCCAGGTTCTCCAATCCAGGTTCATTCCATTAGGGGGAACACTTGGGGGTGGTTCGACGCTGACATTTCTCATAAACCTTTTCCTTGATTTAAGTCGGCTGATTCCTGGCGGTTCGTCAAACCCGTATAATTGGTGCGTTCATCGAAAGTTTGCCTGAACTTCTCCACATATTGTGAGGCACATCTACGATCGTCTGGTGATGCGAATCCAGCTACCCGGTACAGTAGGTGTAGAGGGGTAGGCTTCATACAACCGGTAATGATTCTACATGTTTCATTTAACGCCGTGGTGACTTGTTGGGCGTGTCTAGATCTACCCCAGACGGGACAAGTATATTCCCCTGTTGAGAAACATAAGGCCTCAGCTGTTGACTTCAAGACCTGGGGGTTTGCACCCCACCTACAAGTTTCCGGAGAAGGTGGTTTCTCGTAGAGACCTTTTGTCTTGTGCTTTGACAGCGGAATTTATACGTTAGTGACCGGTCTAGTATCAGTATTAATATCCCGAGGACATTGATAATAGACGAGATAATTTCATGACAATCGAAAGCTCGTTCCTTGGTAACAGCACGAAGCCGAAGTCTGAGTGCTGTTACCAAGCAACGAGCTTGAGAAATGTGTCATGAAATTAGGAGGCATTCATCAATGTCCGAGGGATATTCGGCGGATAATTTTTTGAAAAAAAATTCATACCGAAACATTTATTTATTAAAAGTACAGTTAGTGAAAGTACAATTATTAAAATTTAAGTTAACATTAGATTCGTTGCTGTTCTCTACTATAGAAGATCTATTACCACGCATAATATTTATAATCTTATTGCGGTGTTCTTGATCGAGATTCAAGTATGGTTTTATAGAAACGTGACATTTTGAAATTTATTTGGATGAAGTTGTCAAACTCGATCGTGTTGTCATAGGGATTGAAAATTGCACTGAATGCAATTATCAGTCTAATGTTGACATGATTTGAAATTGTTCCACATGACACAAAATGACGAAATTTGAATGGTTGTTAGAACAGTCGAAAAATTATCACTCCAAGATATTTGGGCCTATAGTATGTTTCAAACGTTGTCCCTCCCAAGAAACATTCAGTTTTACATGCGCCAGTTGGTTGTTGAGATGGAATGCACATACTTGGGTTTTAGTAGGGTTTGGCTTTAATGTGTTCTGTTTGTAGTAAGTTGACATGTTTAAAGCATCTTCCATTGTCGACTCTACTTGTGTGAGTGTTTTCCCATTTACGGCTATACCAAGGTCGTCAGCGTAAACAAAACTCTCAGTCTGAGGGTGCATTGGTTGGTCGTTGGTGTAGATGTTAAATAAGGACGGCGCCAGAACGCTTCCTTGAGGCAGGCCATTTTTTTGGGTTCTCCATCTACTTTTCTTTCCATTTAGCACAACGTAGAAGCGTCTATTACACAACAGTGATCTAATGATATTTACCAGGTTATAGTCATGCATAGTGTTAAAGATCTTAGTTAGCAAGGTTCTGTGGTTTATCGTATCATAGGCCGCTGTGAGGTCTATCAAGGCTACTCCTACTATCTCTTTCTGCTCCAATCCCTCCTCTATGTATTATGTTAGGTTCAGTACTTGGCCTGTGCGTGATTTACCTGGTCTAAAGCCTGCTTGTTGTGGGATTAGTTTTGCATCTGTTTCCTGGATGCGGTTCAAAATGAGGCGTTCATACAATTTATACAAATGGCATAGCAGAGATATCGGACGGTAGTTCATGGTCTTTAGGGCTATTACTTTTCATTTGCGCCACAGTTTTGGAATCTGGTAGATAGAGCGACAGATGTTAAATAGATCGAGCACCCATTGTCTCGCTTTTTGCCCGAGATGTTTTATCTGCTCTGTTAGGATTTCATCCACCCCAGGTGATTTTTCATACAGTCAATACCATTTTTGAGCTCTTCGATGGTAAATGGATTTCGTAATAGAGTTGTTTCCTGGTCTTGAGTTCTTATAATATTTAGCGTTTTGCAACGATTGTTTGTTTTGCCCTTCAGAAGCAGTTGGTGGGCTATCTGATTTGGCGTTATTGCACATAGCTCTTTCATCTCTGTTGGATCACCATTAAGTTTTTTGATCATATTTCAAGTTTGTTGTTTAAAGGTCGATTCAGACACATCAGTCCCGTCACATTCTTGGCGCCGAACCGGTCCTGTTTGGCCACAGAACTATTAACTATCTGACAGCTGGGAAACTGTTCGTCGCCTGATGAATGTGAATGCCGCGCCATATTTCTATTAAAGAATATTTTGTATGACGGAGATGTGTCTGATGTGTCTGAATCGACCTTTAAACGGAAACATAAACTCTAATTGAGAAATTTGTGATAAGCTACGACAGAACTGTAATTTAAATTTTAAGAGATTAATTTGAGAATAATTTAGTACATTTGAAATAATTTAATCTATTCTTCAACTAAAAGTACGAATAAAATAGTGCATATTATGTCTATGGGTTAATTTTTCTATGCACACTAGATAAAATCTCACTGAACAGCACTGGTTCCTACTAAAACATGGCTGATTCCGTCTGCGCGAACGAGATGCGCATACTTAGTTGTTCAAGCAGATTGGGTATTCTGATTGTTTATTATTCTGTGCCGTAACTGCCTATACTTTCAAAATTCGTCACACCGTACAATTTCCAGATTGAAATATAGTAGTTTTGTCTTCCTATATCTCCCTGCAAGAATGTATAAGAATAATAATAACAACATCAACGTTATATTATGGTTTTACTGAGAATTGACAATAAGATAACATGTCATAATCACATACAATTACATTTTACAGATTTTTTTATACATCTCACGTATGTCACATTTTAATTTCATTTTGTATTACATCGAATTTAATTGGTTTACAACCAACGTTGTGCAATTTTTATTAGTGCAGTATCTGTCAAAAACCTTAAGTCATACTTGAAAACCTTCGACACTTTATATATTTTATAAAAGCTTTTAAAAATTACTTAAAGATAAAAATAAATAAAAACGATATAATTCAGGTACTGCCGAAAAAAATTAATCAAAAAATGCCACAATATTAATTTTTAAAAACTGAATCATCTATACACTGCTTCATAAAGCTAATTTTTAAAAACATTTAATAGAAGCTGCTTGAAATAAGTTATTTTTTTACAATTTTAAGTTCTTTTGCAATTCCAGGAAAAATACTTCCATTGTATATTAGGTGGCGCCATCTAACCATCAAGTTCAGGACTATAATTGCAATTTTCCAACTATCTGATTTCGCGCAGTAGTTATTGGTAACTTGACTTACGCTATATATACAGTAAGTTCCGGACTGCAATGCTTTCTATATATCTAAGTCAGCGCAGTCCTGTTTCTTCTAGTTTTTTTAATAAAAAATTTATCCTGGCGTCATTTTATTCTAACCTGTGATCATGTTCTAGTTTTGTAATTTTAGTGGCGCCATCTACCCATCAAGTTAAGGACTAGGTTGTCTATTTATCTGAGTTTGTGTTTGGGTGATTGGCAACTTGAGCTGCACTATATATCAAGGAAGTTAGAAATTGTAATGCTTTCTATTTATTTAAGTGTTTCGTCTAGTGACAGATCTTTTAATTTTACTTTTGTTTTGATTTTTAAGAAACATGTCTGCTACCTCCACCTTATCTCAGTTTTCATTTTATTTGTACTTGTCATCAGATTTTCATTTTCTAACTTTATCGGCGTTATCTAACCTTGAATTTAGGATTATAAAGTTTCTTATTTATCTTAATTTTTGCAGTGGTGATTGACAACGTGAATTGCGCCATCTATCTAGTCCGTTCCGTACTATAAAGTTTTCTATTTATCTGAGTTTGCATAGAGGTAATTAAAAGCTTGAGCTGCGCCATGCATCCATCAAGTTTGGGACTTAAACGAATTTTTATTATTCTAGTTTTCTGCTGTGCTGATTAGACTACTTAAACTGTGCAATCTACCGACCAAGTTACGTACGAGTGTTTTCGAACTTTTTCCATTTACGAGATTACCCAGTGGTAATTAATGAATTCGTACCTTTTAACTGTTAAAAACTTCTATATTTGTCATAAAACTTCATGTTTTTGTACTTTTTTGCTTTTAAATAAATAAAAATCTCATTTGTACAAGTAAAAAGGTTATTATTTCTGAAAAAATACAACATATAAAGTTTAGTTCGAATAAAAATTGACAATATTTATTGGATATTTTCCTAATGTGTTACATTTCTTGAAAATGAGCTCTATAGTTGTGGTTTTGGAAGAAAAACTGTTGCTATAGTAGGTATCTATATATCTATGCCATCTATATATTGACATCTGCACTTCACCGCTTTAGATGATCTTACTGCGCATGGGTGATTGGCAAGGCTGCGCAAGTTTTGGACTGTAAGGCTTTTTATTTGATTTTGCGCAGCGATATTTCAAGCAAAAAGTTTCTAATCGCTAAAATCTTGCAAGTTCTCATTATATTCTAATTTATGTTAACATTTGTCTATTGCATCATAAATGATGCTGTCCAGCCAGTAATTTTCAGACTATATAGTTATTTGCCTGAATTGACACAGTAGTTACAGTTTGAACTTTTTTATCCGAGTTTGCGCAGTGGTTATGACTAACTTAGACTGCGCCATCTATACACCAAGTTCCGGACTAAAATACTTTCTTTTTAAAATCTTTCTTTTACAAAAAAATACTTTATCTTCCTGTTCTTTTGTTTTCTTTTTTCCTTTTTCTTTGTTCTCCTGAAGAAGCTACATATAATTGTAGCGAAACGTCGAGATGAACCCACTTTTGGGTCACTCACAAATGACACGGTCCAAACCCGGAAGACGAATAAACTATAATTACTTTCTTTTTACTTGAGTTTGCGCAGTAGTTGATGATTTTTTAGGCCGCACCATCTATCGACTATGTTTTAGACTATAACACTTTTGTGATAATGCGTACCACGTTTGTTAATTTGATTGTAATAGTACTTTTAGTTCGAGTCCTATGATTTGCATGTTATAAAATTAAAAATTACATCGGCACCTTTATTCCCAGATTCAGAGTTTATTTTGGGTGAATCTAAATACAATTGCTGTAAAGTTTCATTTTTAATTAACATGGTAGAGAGGAAACGTCATGTAAATATGTAATTTTTAGGTTAGAATCCACTTAAATGTTTTCACTTGGTTAAAACTGAAGAAAATATTAAAAGACGAACCCTTTTTTATATTCTCTCCTGATTGTTCGACAAAATAAACCAACATGTTGGTGGAAGAGCTAAAAAAAGTTTCTCGGTCTTGACGCTAAAACGGAATTTTTTTGACTTAAATCTGATAACTGTTACAGCTAAAAATTTATTTAATTGAATTCATCATGTAGTCAAAAAACACAAATTTAGAAATGTGGGATATTATAAAAGAGCAGTACCAGAAAATACCATATTTCGTCCTCAACAAGAATTTATCGTTTTTTCTTTATTATTCTTTATTAAAAACTTATTTTAAATCCTGTTTTTATGAAGACTGAATGTATTAGGGATGCATACAAATTTAAAAATAGCTTTTTTACATAATATTTCAGCATTTTTAAAAATAATCTCTTGCTTTCATGATTACAGTACTTGACGTATTCATTGACAACTGACAGATGACGTGATTTAACTCACGTTATACTCCTAAATTTCCCCATTTTATCCCCGCTAAAAATATAATAAAAAAATTTCTAGTATGTCTTAAGATTTGGGCCAGACCTTATCATACATAATATTATGTACAATCGCCAACAAAATAAATAACTCTTAAATATAAAACAATTAATTTATACATAAAAAAGAAAATAATTTATCTTATAGCTATAATGGTGGAGGATTTCTAACTAAAATTTTGACTAGGCTTTAAGTTTCGTCGGTTCCATTGGTCTAGTTTTGATGTAAGGTGGGTTGGGCCAGGGCCAAATTTGTGGTAGGGAAGGTTCGTAGTTGTAGTTGTATTGGTGGCTTTCGATATATTTTCTCATGTCTTTTGGTTTTGGATACACTGAAGCGATACCTACAAAAAAAAAATACAGACTTTAATATTTTCGACACGTTGACTAATTTTGTACACAACTTTGATGTGCATTATGTAACCGTTTGTTAGCTTTAAATAGTTTTTTATGGTCCAGTATCAAATATTTTAAGTCATTGACCAAATGCGACAATGTTTTGAATTTTAATTTTGTTGATTTGTTTGATAATCGTATTAATTTTAGTTTTTGCTTTAGTTTTCATTTCAATACAATACAGTAATACCTCGACTTATGCTACCCCGATTTACGCGAATTCAGAGCTACACGATTTTCAAATCTTGTCGATTTGTCATCTGAGTGCATCGAGCATAAAGACAAAAGAGGGAATCTAATCCTTATGAAAAGAAGACCAAAAAAGTGGCCTCTGATGGCGAACATATCCGGAAATGCGAATGCGCCAAATTTAAATTTTCCGACACTTATTAACAGTAGCTATATAATATTTTTCAGAATGTGTCTTAGACGAGAAAGTTTCAATTAATTATTAAAGGCAATAGTCTAAAATGCGACACAATTGTTAAAAAACTTCAATATAAATAAGATTTCATGTGACATTTGGGACAAACAATAACATAACCCAACTAAATTTGAGGTCAAACAAGGAGTGAGACTCTCTTTCCTTGTTTAATGTGGCCCCTAAAGATCGTACTTACTGTCTAACAATATTTTTGCCCCCACTACCTTTACATTCCATCTTTTGTCTTTTTGCTCGATGTCTGAGTGCCACAAAATCGTTCGATTATCGATTATTGCTCATCCAAAGTACATGTTTTGACTTTTCGCACGAAATCAGCACATTTATTTTGTATTAGGTATCAGGTATTTTTTATCGACAGTTTTGTCTACGGAGTGGGTGTTTGTTACTTTTATAACAAAATTTTTATTTTATATCTACTGAAGACTTGAAAGAGCAATGATGTCATCCAAACGAAGTAAAATTGATCCTTCTGCAGCCAATAAGAAAAGGAAAACGTTATCTTTGATGTAAACTTAACGTAATTACAGATTTTGAACAAAAAATGAAATTGTGCACAATACTGTGAAAAGTGCACAATCTTTCAATTCCACCATCGTACGTACCGGGTGGTCCAATAAGCCGATCTCTCGGCTATATATCAGAAAATATTCATGTTATAACTTTAGGAAAAAAAATTCCTTAGTAAAAGTGGCCAAGAGAAATCGCTGGAAATAATTTTCAAGATTCTGGATTAACCGCTAGGGGGGTAACCTGCGAAGAAAATTTTGAAATCCAGTTTTTTGGGAAATATGTCCAATTATAAAAGGGTTAAATAAGTAAACTAGAAAGAGGCATAAATTCTGCACAAAGTTGTTCGAGTACTTTTTTTTTTCAAATAAAGGGTGGGGGAGAGTGTGAAAGTATTTGTGGATAAATACCTATAACTTTGGTTTGGATCAACCGATTTTAACAAAATTAGTGTCATTAGAAAGGGTATGGCTAATTTAATTTACATCTACTATAAAATAATTGCATTTAGTTTTAATTGTAGTAGGTAGAGGGTACTTTCGAATAGAAAAAATTAAAATTTGTTTTTCTTCAAAATTTTTAATGGAAACACCTATTTATTGTAAATTATAATAGAACTAGATTAAATTCATAACAAAATGGCGTAAACCGCATGTTAATATCTTTTATCGAACTCGAGATATGAATAAAAATGCATAAACATAAGTAAGTATAGTATTGACACAACCTGTATTATAAAATAAATTAAAAAATAAGTCAGTAGGTACTTTCATAATTTTTTATAGCAGAAAACTCTTAATGTTGATATCTATTTTGACCATTGTTATTTCATATGATTAAAAATTGTTTTTTCGAAACTAAGTAGGCTACGACAATGAATTTGACAGGGAGTTCATATTGTTTATTTATTGACAGCAGTCAAAATATTGTTAAGAAGTGTTATATGTAGTATAATTCGAATTGAAAATTGCATTTTTTTCAAAAGATATTAATATTGGTAATATTAGTAATTAATTATCAGTACTAATAATTCGTGATGAGTATATCAAATTGTATGATATAATTGGAGTTTATTTCGAATATCACCAAAATGGCGCTATTGCCTCACGTATATATTCTGTAAGATATCCTGGCAGGAGATATTGTGGCAAAGAAGTAGAGATTTCGGACTACTTATATGTGGATTCTGTTGAATTAAAGCAAGAACATTGATTGAATTATCTTCGGTCATAACTCTACTACGTCGTTTAAAACAAGGACGAGAAAAACTACCAGTTTCTCTTAATCTTTTTGCCTTTCTTTCAAATACTTCTTTGCCATAATGTCTCCTGTCACGATATCTTACAAAATGTATACGTGAGGCAATAGCGGCATTTTGGTGACATTCAAAATAAACTCCAATCATATCATACAATTTGATATACTCATCACGAATTATTTGTACTGATAATTAATTACTAATATTACCAATATTATTATCTATTGAAAAAAGTGCAATCTTTAATTCGAATTATAATATAGCACTTCTTAACAATGTTTTGACTGCTGTCAATAAATAAACAATATGAACTCCCGTCAAATTCATTGTCGTAGCCTACTTAGTTTCGAAAAAACTATTTTTTACAAAATAGGTATCAACATTAAGATTCTTCTGCTATAAAAAAAATTGAAAATACCTACTGACTTATTTTTTAATGTAATTTATAATACAGGGTGAGTCAATACTATACTTACTTATGTTTATGAGTTTTTATTCATATCTCGAGTTCAACAAAAGCTATTAACATGCGGTTTGCTCCATTTTGTTACGAATTTATTCCAGTTCCATTATAATTTACAATAAATAGGTGTTTCCATTAAAAATTTTGAAGAAAAACAAATTTTAATTTTTTTTATTTGAAAGTCCCCTTTACCTACGACTATGAAAACTAAATGCAAGTATTTTATAGTAGATGTGACTTAATTCATCCACACTCTTTCTAACGACACTAATTTCATTAAAATCGGTTGGACCAAATCAAAGTTATAGGTATTTATCCACAAATACTTTTTCACTCTCCCCTCCCTTTATTTGAAAAAATAAAAAAAAGTACTCGAACAACTTTGTGCAGAATTTACGCCTCTTTCTAGTTTACTTATTTAACACTTGGTATAATTGGACATATTTCCCAAAAAACTGGTTTTCAAAATTTTCTTCGCAGGTTACGCCCCCTAGCGGTTAATCCAGAATCTTGAAAATTATTTCCAGCGATTTCTCTTGGCCACTTTTACTAAGGAATTTTTTTTCCTAAAGTTATAACATGAATAGTTTCTGATATATAGCCGAGAGATCGGCTTATTGGACCACCCGGTACACGTCATGGGAATGGAGATAATGTTAAAATTATGGTATGATAATAAGGTAAATGTGAAAAATTGTCCTATTGATCAGAATACAGTATGCTCCCAAGCTAAGCTAATTTTTGAGAGATTGAAAGAGGATGCTCGAGAAATCGCTAAGGATGAACAGTTTAAAGCAGTAACGGTTGGTTCAGCCGATTCAAAAGTGGCTGTAATTGGCATAGCATTGCAGAAAGCAGAAAGCCCAAGTGCTGATAAAGAGGCTGCGCCTTATCCACAGAAATTAAAAGCCATAATAGATGAATGTGGATACACCAAACAAACCATATTCAATGTAGATTAGACTGGCCTGTTTTGGAAGAAGATGCCTAAGAGAACATTCATCGCACGTGAAGAGAAAGCCTTACCATGTTTTAAGGCTGCCCAAAGATCGATTGACAGTGATGGCGGGGTCAAATGGAGCTGGTGATTGCAAGTTAAAACCACTCTTAGTTTATCGCTCAGAAAATCCAGGAGCACTAAAAAATAAATCTAAATCTGGCTGGCCTGTCATTCGGACGTCTAATCGAAAAGCTTGGGTGACAGCTTCCCTTTTTGAGGATTAGTTTGGTCATCATTTTATACCTGAAGTCGAACGTTATTGTCAATCCAAACAAATTCCAATTAAAGTGATGCTAGTCTAAGCTTTAACTAGTTTTGACCCACGTGTAAAAGTTGAAATTTTGTCACCTAATACAACCAGTTTACTTCAGCAGATGGATCAGGGAGTCATTAAAATATTCAAGGCTTATTACACCAGACGATCATTTGCACATTATCTTCATAAAGTTATAAGAAAAAACGACAAGCTCTCTATTAAAGACTTTTGGAAACAATTCAACGTGTTAAATGCAGTGATTGGACAATCTTGGAATGAAGTTTCACAAAAAAAAACGTTAAATGTCGTCTAAAAAAAACTGTGTCCTTTTGTTTCATCACTGACACTGAAATGGAATTGATGCCAAAGCATGATGAAGTTAGTAATGTTATTAAGGAAGTTGTTGATATCGCCCAGCAAATAAATTTAGAAGTTGATAGTGATGACGTTGAAAAACTGTTGAATTCCCACAATCAGGAGCTGACAATAGATAACCTTATAGGAATGCACGATGACGAACAAGACATTGAAGTGTTTGAGTGTTTGGATCCAGTCACAGCCACCTTTACTTCCAAGCCATGAAGTAGAAATTTGGCAACAACGCGTGGTAGTCCGATTGTGGTTTGTTTTGGTTTAACATTTCATATAGGAAGGCTTGTAAAGTTTGTTGAATTTATTGTTTTTTTAACTTTATTCGAATGTTTTATTTGTAAATTGTGTTTACATCAATTAGAAAATATTAATATAAGTGAAATTTCATTAAATTTAGAACTTTTAGAAGATTCTTAACGACAATTTAAAAGGCAAGTATAAATATAACCTACAAAACAAACTGAAAATAATAATACTTTTGCTTCTTGTTACAAAATATGTAAACTAAAAACAACAATACTAATACTTTTGTTTTTTGTTACAGATGCTCTGGCATTGTTGTGTACCTGGTTGCAAAACCAATTATGCCAGTACTTTAAAAACGAAACAGGCAGAAAGTACGTTTTTGTTTCCCAAAGATCCCCAAAGAAGGTATACTGGGTTATGCTCTATTCATAGAGAAGGCTGTACAATTACCAAATCTTCCGTAGTATGTGCCAAACATTTTTATGAACATTGAAAAGTTAATATTTCCCAAATTAAAAGGCAATGCAGTTCCTAATATATTTCCTGAAGTACCATCATGTGTAACTGTTCATCGTACTAAAGAAAGAAGGAATCCCGAAGACAGAAGAAACTTTTTGCATAAGAAGAGGGAACAAGAAATAACATAATTATGTCAATTAGACTTAGACAATAATATCCCATTGAAAAACTGGACAAGTAAAATTACAAGTGACTGTGTATATTTCTATGTATTAAACATTAATCAGTTGGGACACAAGTGTGATAATATTTGTGTAATATGTAGTGTAATATTTAGCAGTAATTTTAGTGTAATCGTCAATGTAGGTAAGAATAGATTAAGTGGTAATGATTTGAAATGGATTTTACAAAACAGTAAATTAACAAGATGGTCACAATTAGAGAACTTACTTTCTCATTTAGATCTGCTTTTTAGATAAGTGATAACAAATTTGAGTATTACATTCAAAAATCTTTTGAGAATATAGGCTATTTTAAATCGATATACAAGTTATAAATGGTATGTTACATTCAACACATTTTTCATGTATACCTCTTTTAACTTGGTCTATATGACAACAAACCTATTCATATTTAAAATTGCTACATACTTTTGTATATCTAAGTATGAAAATTCAACAAAAGTTATAAGTGAATAGTAAAATATTTAATTTTCAATTAGATTAATTTAGAACCATATTTATATTGTGTCTGATTTCTTAGGATGAATTTTTTAATAATAATAGTTACACTAAGTTTTTGTGTTTTAAAATTTCTAGAGATTCTTGACTGTATTTGATTGTAAGATTAACTGTTTGACACTGTATTTTAAGTGCAATAAATTTTACTCTAGTGATTATTTTATTGATAATATAACCTAAATAATAATAAAACTTTATATATATTTACTAGGTATATATAAGGTTTTATTAATTTAATTTCCCTAAAAATATTTCTGTAATGAATTGAAGTTTTCAAAATATCAGTTTCCTAAAATTCAAATTAATATTCTGGTATACCTTACAGCTGATTATCGGACTACCTACGTCATAAAATGCGGTGTTGCCTTTTTTACTTCATGGCTTGGAAGTAAAGGTGGCTGTGATCCAGTTCAATCTGAGGATCAAATGATGATTGGAAACCTGACTGAAGACCTCAAATTAATTGAAAAGGGATTAAAATTTTTAAAAAATATAGACCACAACGAAGAGCTTATTTCTTCTACCAAACAAGGGATAACAAAATGATTAACCTGCTATGCAGACATTTTGAGGAACAAAAAAAAATTATTAAGTCGTCAAACTACTTTGTTAGATTTTTTAAAGCCTCCTACATCAAAATAAATTGAATTACCAATTTTATATTTGTATATCCTAAGATATTAATAAAAATTTTTGCTTGTTATTTCGCTTAATTTATTTCGTACATTTCTTAATATACTTACGTTCTTTGTAGGCATATTCCAATATTTCACAAGCTATTTGCATGGAACACTCTCTGATCGATCCTAGAGGAGGATATAAACTACCTCTCTTAAGGTCATCGTCTGAAACGTTATTGGCTACTGTTTCTGAGGCTATCAAGAAAATTTGTTCGTTAATATGGTGGATTCCTGCGAGGATTACTCCTAAAGCCACTCCTGGGAAGATGTAAGCGTTGTTGCCTTGACCCGGTTGGAATACTTTGTCCTGATAGTGGACTTTGCCGAAGGGAGAGCCACTGGAGAATATCGCACGGCCCTGAAATAAAATATTTAACGCTATAAAATATGCTGCAATATGATACCAACAAAAAGTTAATATGATATTTGAGGAGGGATGTTGATCTCCTCACAGTTGTTATAAAAAAAACTAAAATTTTTTTTCCTTTTATTCTCTATGCATTGTATGGATATTTTTTTATACAGTAGAACTTGGTTATTACGGCCTCTGTAGTTACGTCAATGTTTAATAGGTCCGGCCAAAAACTATTCGATAACATTATTAAAAACCCGGTTTTATCGGCTAAAAATTGAGTAAGCTTCGTCTATAGCGTCATAAAATATTACAGTAGGTTGTCGTTTTTTATTTTATGAAAAATAAGGTGCAATGCGTTTTCAGCTTTGCCGCATTGTTACTTCCAAGAATGTGAGGAAGCCCGATTATCACTTCTGTGTACATTTATGTGACCTTGACAGTTATATGATTTCTCATTTATCAGTGTCATCCTAACGGTTTTTTTCTGTTTCAGAACAGTCAGTTTGAGAAATTTTGCTGTGAAATTCGACTCGTTTTGTTTTTAGATTCTAATTTAGTAAGTTAGTTTGGTGAAGATTTCACATACACTAACGGCTGGCTAGATCGGTTTAAAGCCTGACACTCAATTTCCTTCGCGAAAATTGTTGGGGAGGCAAAATGTGTGGACGAGAGTGGCAGGTGATTGGTTACAAAACACATGGCCTCAACTAAGGCAACCATACAAGGATGAAGATATCTTCAATGACGATGAAACTGGTGTCTTTTACAAATTAACGCCAGGCAAAACTTTAAATTTCAAAAATCAAAAATGTGTCGGAGGAAAGCTTTCAAAACAAAGAGGCTCATCTTTTGAATGTGCAAAAATGATAGGTACAGAGAAAAGAAAGCTTTTGATTATTGGGAAAAGTTTACATCCTAGATATTTCAAAAACATAAAAACACTGGCTGTAAACTACACAGCCAACAAAAAAGCGTGTGTCTTGCAGCCTATTGACCAAGGAGTGATAAGAAGTTTAAAGTGCCATTATCGGAAACAGCTTTTGAAAATAATAATTTTTTTGTGTGGACAATGGGGAACCCGTGAACATTACTATCCTTGATACAGTTCAGTTTTTAGACAATGCGTGAAGTGCAATTACGTCAGTGACAATTTGTAAGTGCTTTCGTCAAGCTAAATTGACGGTAGTTTCTCTCAATGTTCAGGATGTTGACGAGGATGACGACATGCCTTTATCAGAGTGAATACAAAAAATTAATGTAAACCAGAGAGAGTTTGGGACTGATCTTGACTCCTACATTTCAGTAGACGAACATTTCAAGTTTTAAGTGATAAGGAAATTGTAGAAAAAGTGCAAAATGTGAAAATGTATGTTAATAAAGATAATGAAAAAGAAGAAAAAGACGGCATTGACTGTCTACAATCCAAGAAGCAATGAGAGCTGCTGTGACCATATCCAGATTTTACCAGTTCTTGCCTCCCTGGTATCCAGATACCAGGGAGGCATCCACGGCTATCAAAGAAGCAGCTCAGATTATTAAGGACACTACAGAAACTCTTTTATTTTTCGGCAAGGGTTGTGCAGAAGAAAATAACTGACATTTTTCAGCATTAGAGAACTTTTTCATAAAAGATGTAAGTTTCATGATATGTTGTATTTCTTAATTTTTTTATCTAAATGCAGCTGTAATAAAATTTTGCCTCGTTAAAATTTAATTTTTTTTACCTCTGTTATAAAGTCACTCTGATATAGCGTCATTTTTTTACTGGGCCCCTCAATGACGCTATAACCAAGTTTAACTGTAGTAAGAAATAATAATGAGCCAAATTTGCAGAATAAGCTACTATTAAAATAAATGTTTTTGGATATTTCTCGATCAAATGTTCAAAAGCTATTAAACTAAAAGGTATATTTATTAGTTTTAAGGGATACAAAAAGAGTCTTACCTCTGTATTAACGTACGCCTGTTCAGCGGTACACTCAGCTTTACTTGTCGGATTACTGAGAGCAAAAATAATTGGTCTTTCATTAAAAGCAGCCATATTCTTTAAAATTTCCGGTGTAAATGCACCTGCAGCAGCGGAAGCTCCTAAAAGAGAATCAAATGTGAGTGTGAAATGGTACATATTTAAATTTTAATAAAAAATGAAATTTTTCAAACGGACTACAATTTCATCAGACCGTTTTCGGTCTTATCAAATCATTATCAGTGAACACATAGATAGAAATTGAAACTATCTATCTATCTATACAGCCCTTGCTGTCCAATTTTGGACATTGACCTCCTCTTCCTTCTTCCACGTCTCTCACTTCGAGCCTGCGTGTTTCTTCAAGTCATCTGACCATCTCATTTGTGGCCTTCCTCTTTTTCGTTTGTAATTATATGGTCTCTAGTGTATAATCATCTTATTCCATCTGTCGTTTTTCTGTCTTATGGTATGTCCAGCGAACTTACACTTTGTTCAAGTTTTGCTATCTGCGTTGATACATCGGTCACTTTTGTTTTGTTGCGGATCCAAGTATTACTTTTCTTGTCTGATGGTCTGATGTTCAGCATTTACCTTTCCATGGGTCTTTGCTATTTTTTCCATGTTTTCCTTTTCCAAGTTTAAGAACCGTAGGTGAGAACAAAGACATCCTCATGAAGATTACCAAAAATTGTTAAATAACTGCTGTATATCCGAAATCAAAGAGCAGTGTATAAAAGCCGGTTTTTCGGCCCCAAAGAAAGCAAGTATACCCATCGGCCTAAAAGCTCACGATGATGACATTATTTTTTTGCCTTGGAAAAGGTAGGATCTTAACTGGAGAATACGACACCCAAACATCCGACAAAACTGGACGCCAAACATTAGTTCAAACTCAATATTTTGCATATGCTTATAAAGGTGTTTTAAAAATGGGAAAATTGATTGATCTGTATTATAAGGTGTTGGAACATCCCCTCAATTCCCCAGACTTGGCACCCTCAAACTTCCTTTTATGTTCAAAACTAAATTTATTTCTCACTGGTCAGCGCTTTTCGACCAATCAAGAAACCATTGCAGTTCTGTATGTATATTATGCAAAAGAAACTATAAAGAGAAGACCAACCACAGTATTGGAGCCAGCATTGCTCAGAGAAGATTATTTTATGAAAAATAAAACTTCTTTAATATAAATTGTCGTTTCTACCATCAAGCCAAGAACTTTTCAGATCACCATCGTATTCTTCTCCTTTTATCTTTTTAGACATCTCTAACAGGAAAAAGTGCGTTTATATTTAAGTATTTTCGCAATTCTATTTTTAAAGGCTATATATTTTATTAAAATACAATGATTAATGCCCTAGAAACATCTAAAATTGTTATTCCACTTTACTAACTTACCTATTAATATCGACGGTTTAATTTCGTTAACAATGGCGGCGAAGTCTTTGATGGGAGCGTGATTTTTAGCGTAATACTTCTTGTGGCCATCCAAATTACCTTCGGGCCTTTCCAATGCTAACAATCCATCGATGTCAACCATCCAAATTTTGTCCCTGGCTTCTTCTGTACTTAATCCTTCATTTTCTAATGCTTTGACCGTCAAATCGGCGATACCTGTGAAAATTATTTAATAAATAAACGTCCATAATGTACAAAAAATCATTATAAAATGAAGTAAAGAATATTGGCTTAAAATCTCACTTTTTCCTTTTCCTTGACAGATAATATTATTGCAATTAATTTTTTTCAGTTTTTATTTACACTGCAATGAAATTAAAACCACAGACATGTAATATTGGCATAATTATTGTAATTTACAACATCTAATTTGTTTATCTTTATTAGACAACACCCTAATATGGGTTTTTATCATTTCAGCATGTATTTAACTTTGTATCGAGACCTGAAGATGCTTTGCATATTGTAGAAAGCGAAACCGGTCGTCTGATAGTTAAATTAAATTTATTGTAAGTCTTATTTATTATTTCTTTACCTATTTGAAATGGACTCACACAAGCAACACATTCATGCTTTTTATAAAACTAGTTCTTCTTATAAAACTATGTGGTTGTTTCTAAATATAGTAACAAATAAAAATTACCTATGGCCGCTTCTCCGGCTCCCAGGAACAGGAATTTGTTGTCACTGAGTTTTTTGTTTGTAAGTCTTTTGGAGGCCAATAATCCAGATACTGCTACACTGGCAGTGCCCTGCAAGAAAGCAACATTAAGCGTTTTGCAAATTATACATTATTTTGTATACTAAAGCACTCGAATATTACAACATTAATCAATACTACAAAACACTGCATCTTTTAAGTAAATTTCTCAATTTTAAATGTTCACTTAAGTATTCGTCTTGCGCATTTAGACTTTGTCTTATTTGAACTACATACCTATGTGCGAATGTACCTTTTTCTAGCTAGCTAGCTTCTTCAGGAGCAAAAAGGTGTTGGACCATATGTGCGCGAATGTTTCTTCTTCTAGCAAGCTAGCTTCTTCAGGAATAGAATGGTATTGGACCTTGTATTGTTTGGGCCATATTTGCGTGAACGTATCTTCTTCTAGCTAGCTAGCTTCTTCAGGAGCAGAAAGGGTGATGAATATTGTCTTGTTTGGACCACATGTGCGCGAATGTATCTTCTTCTAGCTAGCTAGCTTCTTCAGGAACAGAATGGTGTTAAACCTTGTCTTGTTTGGACCATATTTGCGCGAATGCATCTTCTTCTAGCTAGAGGAGCAGAAAGGGTGATGGATATTGTTTTGTTTGGACCACATGTGCGCAAATGTGTCTTCTTCTAGCTAGCTAAATTCTTCAGAGGCAGAAAGGTTGATAGACCTTGTCTTTTTTGGACCATATGCGCGCGAATAAATCTTCTTCTAGCTAGCTAGCTTCTTCAAAAAAAAAATGTGTGATGGATCTTATCTTGTTTGGACCACATGTGCGCAAATGTATCTGCTTCTAGCTAGCTAGAGTCTTAAGGGGCAGAAATGTTGATGGACCTTGTCTTGTTGGGACCATATGTGCGCAAATGTATCTTCTTCTAGCTAGCTAGCTTCTTTAGGAGCAGAAAGGGTGATGAATCTTGTCTTGTTTGGACCATAGGTGCGCCAATTTATCTTCCCTAACTAGCTAGCTTCTTCAAGAGCAGAAAGATGTTGGACCTTGTCTTGTTTGGACCAGGTGTGTACGAATATATCTTTTTCGAGCTAGCTAGCTTCCCCAGGAGCAGAAAGGGTGTTGCAAGTGTTTTGTTTGGACCATCTGTGTGCGAATTTATCTTCCCTAACTAGCTAGCTTCTTCGAGAGCAGAAAGATGTTGGACCTTGTCTTGTTTGGACCAGGTGTGTACGAATATATCTTCTTCTAGCTAGCTAGCTTTTTGGGAAGCAGGAATATTGTTGGTCAAGGAGATTCTAGTACTTAAAGCACAATTAGTATTGGCTATGTTATGGCCAAACGGTGAGGAAAAGTTGTATTTTCTTTCCATTCTGACGGCAGTATTATCAGACGCTCACTCGAACACTGAATAATGAGCATACTGACTGGATTTTCCGATCTGAACCCTTTATTTTCATTGGTTACGACTGAAAACTCTGCCTCCAACAACCAAGCGTGCTGGTAGACCAAGGTATAAATATTATAGTAATATATAAGGGCCAGTTAGTAGTAGGTATTAATGATTTGTGCTACTCGACAAAAGTATTTCCTTTCTACCTATTATTTGAGATCTAAGAAAGCTCATATCTTCCTTTCTTTTATTTCCAATTCCGAACTCACATCTGTGACAGTTTAACTTCCTCGAAAAGACATCCTTTCATCCCATTTATTGGTACTTGGAATCCTCGGGTATTTCTACTCTCTGGAGTAGATGTCTGTCGTATTGAATTCTGACTTCCTTCACAGCCACAGAGTCGTAGATTCTCCCTAACTATTGGCACCAATGAGAGGAATCTCCCGCGTTATGGGGTAGCTGTGATGGGTACGATCTGCACCTCACATCTATTCACACTATCGGTTTCCTCCCTATTGATTGATCACAACTTCCTCACGAATATCTGTAAGTAGCGAAAAAACACAATTTCACGATTTACTACAACAAGAGCTACATTTTGTGACCAGTAACACCAGAGATGAGTTGATCACGCTTGATTATTGCAACACTAGTAAATCGCATGCTCCGATTTCGCTGAATAATTCTAGTTGGTGACGAGATATGTTGATTTATCTACTGACTTATCTGACTAGCTATAAACTAGGAGGAACGCCAGTTGCTTTCTTTTTCATCTGCCAGGATTATTGTAACATAAAAGGCCAGCACCAATTGTTTGCTTCTTCCAGTAGGTCCGGATTATTAAAACAATAATTTTCTTCCTGGCGTACAAAAAATGTATACAACGATAAGCCTTGCATCCGATAATAACCATGCTTCACCAAGCCTGACCCGTCCACCTCGGTGTTTAACTGATCCGACGGAATATGGCTTTGGTAGCCAAAAGTATCCTCGACCATTAAACTGTGTAGGTCCGAACCCATCAACACTTACGACAGCTTTACCGCTTTCCAAAGTTTTCTAGAATAGAAAATGGGATTTTCAAAACAATAAAGTAATGTATAAAGCTCGGTTTCTTGGTACTAATCTGCTACTAAAAAATAAAAGTGATGCGTTTTTGATGCTTTTGGACTGAGGTTTTGTCGTCACGACCAGTTTCGTCAAGGTATACATGGCTGTAGAAAAAGGGGACAGCATATGCACCACTAGACGAGAGAAGCGTTGGTGAATATTTGATAGCAGTTAAAAACTCCTGATGCCTACTTTTTGAAACCTCTTGCTTATAGATGTGGCTAATTCAGGGAAAGACGGAGACATATGCGATGGAAGAATGGGAGTAGGATCCAAGTTAGAGGTATGTGGATATTTAGACGGAACTAGCTATCGATGGAAAATCATTTTCATTATACATTTAAAGTTACCAGAAATCTTTTGAACTGGTTAGTGGTGTGAAAGCGTGTAAATTACAATTTGTATCAGTACTGGCTAAAGGAAGTCAAATGGAAGATTAAATAGTGTCAAAGTGTTCAGAAATAGTATCCACATGTATGACCGGTAAGTTTCTAAGATACCATGAGAAAAACGATTAAAATCCAAACGCAAATTGTGAATAAATACACAAGCTGTATATCACACAAGATATCTATAAATATCAGACAAAGGAAAAATCCTTCTGCTTTAAAATCTTAATTTTCTGAAAGAAATTGGCCCAGTTAATAAGAATCTTTTAGCAAAAAACCGTTTTTAAATTGTTTTTTTTTACCTCTACTTTTAAAATTTTATCAAGTAGACATTATTTCTTTAAAGTTAATTGCAGGTCATCCAATTTTAACGTTGACATTTTCGTGCAGTGTTGCCATAAGGTCTAAATAGTAGAGATATAGGGAATTATATAATAATGAAAATGTAACGTTAAACATTGCGTAACAACACCAGTGGATCGCTCAAAGAAAAATAATCCGGTGAAACGGAAACACTGGATAACAGATAAAACTCTTAAAATAATTGAGAATAGAAGAAATCTTTGTAAAAGTGGTGTACATAGTGAAAGGGAAAAAGCTAGTTTAAGAAACCTCAATAAAGAAATAAAACGAAGATGTAAGGCCGACAAAAAACAGTACTATCAAAGTATATGCAAAGAAATTGAGAGACATGGTCAGAATAATCAGCCGAGAGATCTATTTAGAAAAATACGCTACCTGACAAGAGACTTCAGAGCCAGAACTTGGGCCATTGAAGATAACACTGGAACCCTGAGAACAAACAGAGAAGACATAGCAGAGACATGGAGATCGTATTGCAGGCAGGGACCTATATAAAGATGATCAACGCCAAGAGCTTGTTAGCCAAATCTCTGACGAGGTGGAAGAAGAACCTGATATACTCGAAAATGAAGTAAGACAGACTATCAACAAGCTCAAATATAACAAAGCACCAGGTCCATATATGATAACAGCAGAAATGCTTAAAGCCACAGAAGAAACCGGCGTAAAGTTACTTCATCTACTCTGTAACCAAATATGGCATTCTAAACAATGGCCTGAAGACTGGACAAAATCTACAATAACGACCATACATAAAAAAGGCAGCTTCCATAAATGCGACAATTATAGAACTATCTCTCTTATATCCCATGCTAGCAAGATAATGCTACATATAATCAATGAGAGACTGAAAACATTCCTTCAAAGAGAAATTCCACAAGAGCAAACTGGATTTACCAAAGGTAGAGGCACTCGAGAACACCTGCTGAATATGACAGATAATCGAGAAATCTAGGGAATTCAACATCCCACTATACATCTGTTTTATAGATTACCGTAAAGCGTTCGACAGGGTCAAGTGGAGACACTTATGGCGAATACTAAAAGAAGTAGGCGTACCACAACATCTAATTACGCTTATAACCGAACTATATGAACACACTACTGGATCAGTTAAAGTACTTGACACACTTTCGAACGAATTTCATCCAGAACGGGGTGTCAGACAAGGATGTATACTATCCCTACAATTATTCAACATTATGGGGAGTATATTATGCGAAGAGTATTTGAAGGATGGGAAAAGGGCATCTCAATAAATGGTCATAAACTAAACAACCTACGTTTGATGATAGAGCCCTTCTTGCAAATAGTCAAGTAGAGCTGATAGAACTTATACGACTGATCGAAAACGAAAGTCAAATATTTGGTCTGCAATTAAACATATCAAAGACAAAGATCATGATAGTGGATAGACTACACAACAATCATCCACACATAACCACAATTGACCGGTTCGAGGTTGTGAGCTCATACTTATATCTGGGATCATTAATCACAAACACAGGGTCATTACAAGAAGAGATTAAACGTAGATCTGATCTAGCAAAAGTTGCCACAGCAAAAATGACCAAAATATGGAAGGACTGTCAAATTTCAAGAGCGATAAAGATGAGGTTGATCAACTGCTTAATATTCCCAAAACTGACCTACGGATGTGAATCTTGGACTCTGAGACATTCGGAGAGAAGAAAGATAGACGCCACTGAAATGTTCTGTTGGAGACGAATGTTACGAATTCCTTGGACCGACCGCAGAACAAATAATTCAATTTTAAGAGAGCTAAAAGTTAGCCAACGACTCTCTAGTAAAGTCCATCTCCAACAATTAAAATATTTTGGGCATGTTATGAGAGCAAACACATAAAACATGGAAAGACTCATAATACAAGGAAAGGTAGAAGGCCGAAGATCACGAGGAAGATCCCCAACAAGATGGATAGATCAAATTACAGGCATATGCCAAAGACCTATGCATGAATTAAAAGAAATGACCAGAGACAGAGATCTCTGGAGACGGACAATACACGACATCACGTCGACCACTACACTCCCCCTGGGGGGTCAGGATTGAAGAGAGAGTGAATTATGACTATAAAAAATATTTAAGTATAATTAAGAATCTGTATCAAATTTAAAATACTTTAAAAAATATCCACGACTAACGTTTTATTAAAACTTAAAGCTCTGTTGATATTTATTTATATATGTAATATATATTGAGTTAAAAAATAATAACAATAAATTATTATACTATGATAAAGTAGAGCAAAAGTTGGATGTCTGAGATTCTTCTATGTAGATTTGTTATTGGACTTTTCAGTGACATGAGGATTACTTAGTACTACATTTACGGGTTTACTTTTACTGTTTTCGAGACTGAAGTAATTTCGTATAACCCTTTTCATTTTTTTTTCAATGATATGTCATATAATTATTTTATTTTATATAATTACAAATTTAATTCTTATTAAAAATATGATGTTTGTAAGTGAACATAGTTGAACTGTGACGAGAAATATCACTGAGGACGTAGAATAACTTCAAAGTCATGTTAATTCAAATAAAAATATACTTAACAAATTACCTGAATATCGTCATTGAAAGTACAATACTGTTCTCGGTATTTGTTAAGGAATCTGAAGGCATTGTGGTTACCAAAATCTTCAAATTGAATTAAAGTGTTCTGACCATAACGCGTCACGATTGCTTCCATGAATTCATCCAGAAAGTCGTCGTACAATTTTCCGGTTGATCTTTTCTGACGAAGTCCAACATACAGAGGATCTTCAAGGAGAGTCTGAAAATCAGTATCATTCAAACAAAACGTATGGAGTAAAGAAATAAATATAATCGTGTAAAACTCGTCGACAAAATTATGGTACTTCTTTGAATTTTGGTTTTAATTTGATAGCAATAAATAATGAACACAGCAGTATTTAAAAAATTTAAGATTCTGTAAGTCTTTGACAAACTAGGTTGAAATCGAATCTATCTACTGAAAACAATTTTCATTTACCTGATTATTGGTGCCGACGTCTAGTACTACCGGTAGACATTCATGAGGTTTAATTCCAGCTAAAGCTGTGTACAAGGCCAGCTTTCCTACAGGAATACCCATGCCGCAAGCACCAAGATCGCCGAGACCTAATATTCTTTCACCATCTGTGACGACCACAGCTTTTACATCTGGTTCGGGCCTGAAATATAATTGTTACAATATTTTCATTTATTAACTCGTTTTAAGACTAAGTTTAAGATAAATTGATGCAATATCAGCGATCATATAAAACTGCAATATCAGAATACCAGTACTACTATCCCATTCGGAAACGTGGTCGGTGGTCGGTACTGAATCTCAATTATCATACATCATCGCAAAAATTCCCCTAAGGGCTAAAAATGTTCCACTTAAAATCCAATCTTTGATCAACCGCTAATCACATATTCTCGCATTTGACCTAATGGAAAACTACAGTTTTAATTGTGTAAATAAAAACTTGGGAGTTTTTTTGGTACGAGACAAATGTACCAAAGAAAGGATACAGCTGAAACAAATAGACTACATCGAAGATATAGTCAACATAATTAAAAACAACATTGGAGAAGTAGCAACAGAAGCTCTAGGAAAATGCTAAGTCATACTGAACAAAAAAAAACAACAATACACCATAGTTCAGAGAAGAAATAAAAGAGAAATGTAAAGAGAAACGAGAGACCTATACGAAGTACAAAACATCAAATACTCCATAATCCCGAGACACCTATAGAAGAATACGAAATGAAACAAAGCAGTTGGTAAAAAAAAACAAAAAAATAACACTGGGAACAGTTTTAAAAAAAGATGGAAAACGACTTCTACGGTACTCAAAAACAAGTATGAAGATTCATAAGAAACCAAAGGAAAGAAATGGCAGAATTGAAGGAATACAATAACATATCAGCAAACGAATGGGAAAGATACCTGACGGAACTGTTTAAAGGAAAGCAAAATAGTAATCAACACAATAACGTACCTGACTTAAGACACGAAATAGAAATTAGTTTTCAGGAAGTAGAGATAGCCATAAACTTACTCAAAAATAGAAAGTCACCAGGACCAGACGGAATAACCAACGAGCTTCTAAAATACGGAGGAGCAAATATAACCCTAGATATGAAAAACTTATCTTCTTCTTCTTCAGATGCAAATCCACTAATGGATGTTAGCGATCATATTTTCCATTAATTCTCTATTTCTTGCAATATGTATCAGAGATTGTATGTCGTTAATCCCTGTCCATTGCCTTATGTTTCGGAGTCAGAACATTTTCTTGCGTCCCATTCCTCTCTTGCCTTCAATTTTACCCTCGATTATAAGTTGGAGGAACTGGTTTTTTTCATTTCGCATGATGTGACCTAGATACGCCGTTTTCCTTTTCTTGATGGTTTCGAAAAGTTGGCGTTCTTGATTTATTCTTTTAAGGACATCTATATTTGTGATTTTCGTTGTCTATGGTATTTTTAGGATACGGCGATAAAGCCACATTTCGAAAGCTTCTAATCTGTTTATATTCCTCGTTTTGAGTGTCCAGCCCTCTACGATAGCAGCACTGACCATACGTAGCACTTAGTAAACCTTAGTCTCAGTTGAAGATCGAACTCTGAACAAGTCAGTACCTTCTTGAATTTTACGAAAGCTTGTCGAGCTTGCTCAATGCGACATTTTACTTCCCTGTCCGATGCCCAGTCTTCAAAAAGCCACGATCCCAGGTATTTAAATTTACTCACTCTTTCAATGGATTTAGTATTCAGTGTTATGGTGGAGTTTTCAAGTGCATCCAAGTGTCTGGAGATGATCATGAATTTGGTCTTTTTGGTATTAATCTCAAATCCAATTCGCTTACTGTATTCTCCGATTATAGTGACAAGTTGTTGAAGATCGACTATGTTGTCACAAATTAAGACACCATCATCAGCATATCGTATGTTGTTGATCAATACTCCATTCACCTTGATTCCCATCTCTGCATCCTCCAAAGACTCTTGAAATATGGCTTCCGAATAAATGTTAAATAAAAGAAGGGAAAGCACACATCCCTGTCGAACGCCTCTTCTTATATGTATGGGTTTCGATATAGAATTGTCTATTTTTAACTGTGCCGTTTGATGCCAGTACAAGTTTTCAATGCATCTTATGTCTTTTTGGTCTATATCAACTTTCTTGAGAATGTGCATTAACTTGTGTTGGACACGATCAAACGCTTTTTGGTAATCTAAAAAGCATAGGAACACATCCTTCCTCTGATCGTAACAATTTTGGTCCAGCACCTGTGTTGCTACTATTGCTTCTCGTGTTCCTAAACTTTGCCTAAACCCGAACTGGGAATCACTGATGTCCCATTCACATTTTTTGTATAATCTTTGATGTAGTATTTTTAAGAATATCTTTAAAGTGTGACTCATCAGGCTAATGAGTCTGTGATCCTCACATCTTTTTGCATTGACTTTCTTGTGCAGGGGAATAAAGGTAGAGCGTAACCACTGTTGAGGATAGCAGCCAGTTTCATAAATTAAATTGAATATTTTGTGTAGTGCTGAAATTCCCCTTTCATCTAGTAATTTGAGTATTTCTGGCGGAATCTGATCTGGTCCAGGTGCCTTATTGTTTTTTGAATTTAATATTGCTTTTTCTATCTCCTCTTTGGTGATTGAAGGGCCAATCAGCTGGTCGCCTGTATAAACTTCACTCATGGGTCTTTCGTCATAGAAGAGCTCCTGGATATAATTTTCCCATATATCAATTTTCTCCTTTTCACCCAGCACTATCTGGTTATCCTGATTAACTATGGTAGTTGGTCTTCGTTTTCTGTATATTCCAGCAGTCTCCTTAAGCTTTTTATGTAAATTACGGTCGTCGTGCTGTCGTTGTAAATTTTCTAGATCGATACATTGTTGCTTAAGCCATTCATTTTTTGCTATTCTTATTTTTGCTTTTATTTGCCTGTTAATGTTTTCATACATATTGCTGCCATCTTGGTCATTCTTGTGTCTTCGTCGTTCTTCCATTAGTAATAGTGGTTCTTCTGTCATCCATTTTTGCCTCTTGTTATTTCGTTTGTACCCTAAGTTGTTTTTCATGATGTCTGTTACAGCACTTGTAATCGTATTCCATGTTGGTGTTAGATCTTCGGTAACGTTTGTCGTCAATATTTGAATTTGTACGTTTATTTCATTGCTTATTTCTGCTTGTATCACTGGGTCTTTCAGTTTATCCAGTGCTATCTGTTGTTGAATTTCAGGCTTGGTCTTGCATGAAAGAGCGATCTTTATGACGGCCACTAATAGTACGTGGTCAGAAGGGACATCTGCTCCAGGGTATGTGCAAGCTCTTTTGACAGTTGTGCTGAATCTACCGTTTATAAGGATGAAGTCTATCTGGTTTCTTATTATGTTATGAGCTCTATCGGCTGGAGATTTCCAAGTATAAAGGCGACGGGGGTGGAGTTGGAACCATGTGTTGGTAACTCTCATGTTTTCTTCTTGACAAAATTGTATAAGTCGGTCGCCCCTTTCGTTCCTTGTTCCAAGACCATAGGGTCCAACTATGTCTTCAAAGCTGCCCTTTCCTATTTTGGAATTAAAATCTCCCATAATTATGTTGACATCATGTTTCTTTGTCAATTTAAGTAGTTCTTTGATTTCACTATAAAAAAAACTTATACAAAAACTAATATTGCACTGCAAGATACCAGACGCATGGAGAAACAGCATAAAGCAAGGAGATAAAAAAGACCCCAACAACCGTAGGGTTTAAATCTACTGAACACGACACTTAAGCTTACCACAAAAGTCCTAACCAACAAAATCAATGGGGAAAAAGAAATCCAAATATTATGGTATGCAGACGACGTCGCATTAATCGCCGAGACAGAAGACGAGCTCCAAAGATTAACACATATCTTCAATACAACAGCCAAGAAGTACAATATGACAATATCAAGTAATTACTAATTAAATGGGAATAAGCCACAATTAAAGGCTAAAATACGTTTATTGACGTTTCAATTTCCACTTCGGAAATCGTTCTCAAAATACAAACATTAGCAAATTTACTATTTGATAGAGTTTCCGCCTTCAATGTCTACGTTTCTACTCTAAAAAAGTCGTTAATAAACTAATAATACTGTAACAGTTTTTTTATTATTAATATATTAAATTATTTTTAATTCCTTTTACCCCCGTGCGATACGCCGATGATTAAGAATCCCCGTGTTTACGATAGGAAATAATATTGTAGATACCAAGCTAAAATGGAATTCCCTAATTAAGAAAGGTTTTTAATCCTTCCGTCTTAATACTCTGTATGAAAAGAACAAATGCTTTCCGGTATGCAGTTTCCTTTTCATAAATTGGTAATTTTCGTCGAAGGCCCATATCTTTTGACAATAACTTAATCCCAAGTATTGTCTGTTTCTTATGTCCAATTGTTAATACCGATTATTTTGCCTCAAACTTTCCAATAGTCGTCAAGGCCTTACCTTCTGAGAAACACATACAACTGTCCTATCATTCTTGAGTGGGGGAATATTTTCTTCTTCCTTTTTCAGGGACAGTTGGTGAAATTTTTAGTGGAACCAACTTACTTGTTGGTGGGCAGTTGTTGAGTGAGGTAATATCTCGTGAGACTTGTTGGTGGGCCGTTGTTGAGTTAAGGCCAATATCTCGTGTTACGCTTTGCTCACTTTATTTCTTATCGTATCGTCTTTGTGAATTATTTTCTAAGTGTGTATACACTTTATATTTGAGTTTTCTTTCCTTAGACTATAATATATATTAAATTATATATAGTTCTACACTACCTTTAATGGTTATTAAATTCAGTGTTTAGTACCAGAAAAGTATTAAATTCAGTGAATTAAGCTGCCTTCGTCAAGATCTACTGTAAGTAATCTTTATCTACAATTATCTGGGCGAGTAATATGGTATGGTACCATATCACCTGCCATTATCTGGACGTATCATCTATATCTTCACCTGTAGATTGCCGATTTTTGAATGTAATTGAACCATTCAAGAAATTTCTATAAATATTACCTATGAACATACAAGTCTCAGTTTTTTATTACATAATAGTGCGAGATAGTTAATTGACTTAACCAAGTGCTGTTTGGTTTATGTTTTCATTCCTGTAATCTTTTTGTTTTTTTGTAAATTTAGAGTTAAGTAATTTTTGCTATCTTTTGTATTTCCTATAATTTTTGTTCATTATCTTTCCTATGATATCTCGAGATACGCCAAACTATATTTGTATATGATTGCCTTATATATCTTGGTAAAGGTAATTTTTTATTACATTATTGCTTAATTTTATACATATATAACACCATTTCATAGTTCTGTATTTTTATTACCTGTGTTGCATTTAGCAGCATCATAATTTTGTGTTTAATATATTGTTATTGTTTTATGCATGTATTTTATTTGTCGGCTCCTAACAAGTTCCCTGATAAAATAATAGCTCTGAACAATTACTATCTTTAAATATTACTATGCTTTTGAACTGTAGAAAGATCAGGCTGATTAAGTTTCGTAGGTAAGTAAGTGTAATACTTAATATATTTATTATTTGTTTATATATTGCGTTGACCAGATTTATTTGATAATTTACTGTTGGTATCTTTCCTTGGGTTTGATCTCTGAACCTAAATATCTTTTCTTATCTCTTTTCTTTTCTAAGGTTTTCTTAATTTTCTCCTTAACCCCAAAAAATTGAGTGGCGCCCTGTTTCTATCTTCTCTTATCTTTGGTAATTTTACCCATCTATCTTTTTGTTTATTTCTGTATCTTTTCTAATATCTCTTATCCTATCTTTACCTATTTCTTCCGTTGGATCCATTCCCGGTTCCAAAAGCTAGTTTCGAACCCACGACTCGCTCTCCACCAACCATCTGGCTGCCGTCCGCAGTGTCTCCATAGGTTATCTTTCTAGCACCACCCCAAAAAAGATTTCCGAGGTTACAATACCATAAAAATGTTAACAAAATAATAAATTATATGAATACAAAAATATATCATAAAAAACTAAGCCTTATGGTTCGTTTTTATCGTATTCTTACGAGTATTCAAGAACCCGGTCAACTTCGAAGTGCTGTAAAACCCAGAAAAATTAATGAAATTGAACACATTTGCAGTGAAAATTATTTGTTGAAAAACCTCTATAATATTTCTCTTGACGTCATTTTATTGTAAAATAACCAGAAAAAAAGTTATAAGACAAAAGAAAACTCGTTCAAAAGTTTTTAGATACTTTTGTTTTTAACTTTTTTATTTTCAATTTTAGGAAAAGTGAAAGAAATAAAATTGTAGACAATTTAATTTGCTACAATTAATGCTTTTTAAATCTTCTGTAGGCTTGCTAATCTAGGAGATACAGTGCAAAAACCCTATGTCCAAGATGGTGCCTGTGAACAAGGGTGGTGACCCCACAAACTTGAACTGAATTTAAGCTTATACTAACCACCCCATACACACAAAAAAAATAAAATTACATCCTCTCAAAAATGTAATCTCAATGTAACTTTTTCAATTGTACATAGTTCCTATGTACAATCGGCTTATTACCACCTAAAGTTACTTTTTGTCCACCTTAATCTTCTTCCATTTTTGCTATTATATTGTGAGAGATTAAATACCTTTTGTTGCGGAAGAAATTTCAGTTTTAACAGAATGGAAAGAAGAAATCTATATTGTGCACATTATGGCTACAAAATAATTTCTCAAAGCAGAATTTAATGAGTAAAATATGAGATGGATGTTGTACTTACCAATTTTTAACGACATCGTAGACGTGCCCAATGTCATTAATCGTAATAAATAACCCTCTAGGTCTTCTGTAAATCAATCCAAACTTCTGGCAAGCCAACCCGACAGTAGGAGTATAAACGATCGGCATCAACGTCTCAATATTTTCGGATAACAGCCTAAAGAATAGTTTTTCGTTTCTGTCTTGTAATTCGGTGAGGTAGATATATTTGTTTAAATCTTCTTGGTATCTTTCGACGGATATCCTACAGAGTTCTAGTTGTTGTTCTTGGGTCTTAAAACGGGCTGGCTGTAAACCGTGTATACCTAGTGCTTGACGTTCTTCTAATGTAAATCCTAACCCCTAAAAAAATGAGATTCTGTAGCAAAGTGACACGTAATTTTTGCAAAAATTAAAATAATTCTCATTATAATCGTACAATAAATCATTTCTTGATTCCTGGCTTCCGCTATATATAAAAAAGAAACCTTATCGACAGCTTCCTAACATTTCCGACAGCTAACTAAAATACCAAAACATCTTCAAAGAAAGCTGAACTGTAAAGTTTTTAATAAAAAATTATTTGTATTTCGAAGATTTTTAAACAAAAAAAAAACAACTTATTGAAGTTCTACACACAAAGCAATTTGACAAATTTTACGCTCTAGAGAGTATTGACGAAAAGCATGTACAAACTACACTGTTTGTCATTAAAAAGAGGTCATTTAGAATTTTATAAAAATTCTTCAATAATTTTAAGTTTATGCAACTGATTTTATTATAACTAAACTCCCACCAACGCAGAAACAGTTTTAGGCACCGCCACGTACAGAAGACATGGGGAACGAAATGCTGTTTGTATTCGACGAGCACGTGTTGTTTTTGGAGGCTTGGTAATGTTTTGGGCAGGCATTTTATTCGAAGGTAATGCCTTTTGCTAGGATTGTGGGCGAAACCTTCATTTTCATGAAAGGCAACACGTCTTACCGTCGGTGTGCTAAAAATGAATTGGTCGGCTCAATGTCCAGATTTGAACCCCATTGAGCAAGAAACAGAATACCTGTTCTATTAAATCGTGAGCAGCTTCGATTAGCGCTCATGGAAGAATGGGAAATTTTTCCTCAAGACAACATCCAGAATTTAAACAATTCAATCCCAAGTCGAATGAAGAGTGTAATTCAAAAATAGAGGTGGTAATAAAGAATATTAAAAATCATGACGAAAACAGAAAAAATGTTAATTTTTAAAATTTTCCATTAAAATCATCATTTTCGAAGACGTTTTTTTACATTTTTTATTTAACTCGGCCTTTGTCGCCGTCGAACCTCTGGTAGGACAGTCGAGTCTGCTGAGCCACGTGTTTAGTATCTCTGTTGAGTTGGCGTGCGATAGAGCTGTGCGTCTTTTGTGTGTTTTATTGGTGAATTCGTTTTAGTTTTCGCGTTTTTTATAAATAATGTCCAGAAAACGAGGCTTATCTCAGAGAAATTCAAAAACTATGTCAACATGAATGCGTCTGAATGGGAAGAGTTCCTGAAAGATAATTCAGATGATGACTCGGACTATGAACTATCAAATGAGCAAGGTTCAATAAGTTCACCAGCAAGCGACGAGAACCCTTTGTCACAATTACAATTGGAACAACCTACTCTAGAGCCAATTGCTGAAATATCCAGCGAAGAAGAATGGTGCGATGTTGAGAATGACCCACCAGTTTTTTTCTGATGCATTTTTGAACAAGTTGGTTCAACAAACAAATTTGTATGCAGCCCAAGAAATTCAGAAAAATACACTTACAAGGTCTTCTCGAATAAATAGATGGGTTGAAACTGACGAGTATGATGAACTACGAGTATTTATTGCCCTTTTGCTACACATGGGCCCATGTACTCTACCATCAATTGAACATTACTGGTCTCAAAATATTATGTATAAAATGCCATTTTGGAGGTTAGTAATGAGTAAAAATAGATTTCAATTACTGTTATGTTTTTTGTTATTATGTTATTTATTATTATGTTACGTAAGTATGGTGAGAAACTATATGAACTGTGTGAATCCCATTGAGTGGTTCTGAAAATTAGAATTTATCGTGGCAAATCTGAGGCCAACGACACCAATGTTGATATGGGACATACTACAGAGGTCGTATTACACTTACTGGATAAATATTTGGACAAAGGATAAATTGTCTATATGGACAATTTTTACAAGTCAGTAGCCCTTACCAAGCGTATGACAGCCAGAAAAACATACGTCTGTGGTACTTTACGCAATAATCGAAAGGGGAATCCAAAATACGTGATCTCAACTTAAAAAGGGCAAGTGTGTATGACAAACGCGAAGTTTTAATGATTTCAAATATGCACAAAGCAGAAATGGTCGAGGTCCATGCCATAAGTGGAAAAGTACCTGGAAACCTAACATAATTAAGGATTACAACGCTGGAATATCAAGTATAGACCAGTCAGATCAAATGCTAAGCTACTACAGAGCTCTAAAAAACCATAAGGTCGAAAAAAGTAGCTTTGCATATTGTCGAAATATACATAAACAATGCATACTTCCTCTACCGTAAGTCAACAGGCAGCAAAATAAAATCTTTAAAATTTCGAGAGATGTTGGTGATAATATGCCAAAAGCTACACCAAATCCTCCAACAAAATTTCATTACCTTGATAATTTTTCGACTGTTCTAACTGTTCTAACAACCATTCAAATTTCGTCATTTTGTGTCATGTGGAACAATTTCACCCAATCATGTCAACATTAGACTGATAATTGCATTCAGTGCAATTTTCAATCCCTATGACAACACGATCGAGTTTGACAACTTCATCCAAATAAATTTCAAAATGTCTATTCTAATGTTAACTTAAATTTTAATAGTTGTACTTTCACTAACTGTACTTTTAATAAATAAATGTTTCGTTATGTTGAGTTATGATTTTTTTTTTTTTTTTTTCGAAAAATTATCCGCCGAATATACCTCGGACATTGATGAATGCCTCATAATTTCATGACAAATTTCTCAAGCTCGTTGCTTGCTAACAGCACTCAGCCTTCGGTTTCGTGCTATTACCAAGGAACGAGCTTTCGATTGTCATGAAATTATCTCGTCTGTTATCAATGTCCTAGGGATATTACTGCTGAAAGTATACCACCAACAGAAAAAAAAACAACGACCCACAAGAGTTTGCCGCATATGTACTACTTGAAATCGTCGTCGAGAAACAGGATATAGATGTGGTGCATGTGAAGAAAAACCTCCTTTATGTGTACAACCCTGCTTCACAGAATATCAACATGAATAGGACTGTTCAAGTACTTTTTTATTGAACTTTGTATGTTTCTTTTTCATTTTGGAATTTTTAGTTTTTCTCCTTTTACCATAACCAAAAATAATAAATCAATCTGTTTTCTGATGTCCACCTATATTTTAATAACTAACTCTTGAAAAAGTTGAATGTAAAGTATGAATTCAGGGTAACTGTCTGAACCTTTTAAAACAAATAACGGGCTGCGCCAGAGAGACCCTTTCTTCTGTATAATGTTCAATCTGCCTCTGAAAAAAGTAATACGTATGGCACAAATCACAACCACTGGTTCAATTTTTTTATGGATTTACTGCCAATTAACTTAATTTAAAAATTGCTTAAAAAATTAATACAAGTTGGTACCTTGTTCAAACGAGGATCCCTTAGATGCTCAATTCCCATGACTTGACCTGGAGAAATAACGTCTCCTGTGAGATGCCTCTTGTGTTGGTCCTCTGCATTTAAAGTTCTTGGTATCTGGTTCAGAATTGTCTTGTGACCAGCATTTGCTGTCACTGATCTGAAAAAAAGAAAATTCTAAATTAATACAAACATAAATTATACCCACGTAAATTTTTTTTGATCTTTCTTATGTGCTGTTAGGTTTCGTTTTTAACAGGATAGATCTCAGTGTGTTAGTTGTTTTGAGTGTTTTTGTAATGTACTTGTTTCCTATCCTTTGCAGTTTTTCTGATAAGCTCTTTACATAAGGTATTGTTTTAATCTTTGAGTTCCTTCTTGTGATTACTTGTGGTGGTTTATTGTTTCGTTTCTTCTGTTGTGAAATTTCTTGTTTATAAATGACAATGAGTAGTCATTTTTAGTCAAAATCTTTGTTAGTAGGTTTTTTTCTTCCTAAAATGCATTTTCATAATAGCATGTGCTTGGGGCTCTGCCACATAGAGATTTGATAATCCTTTTTTGACGTTTATGTTACGGTTGGAGTGGTAATTTAAATATATGTTAGTGTGGGTTGGTTTTGTATAGACTGTGGTTGCATATTGTCTATTGTCTGTGTCTTTTTTGGACGTGCTAATCACAATATCTATCTACTTCACTATATCATCTAGACCTATAAAAATGGTTTGGGCGCAACGTTATGTTAGGAGCGGCAAAAGTGTTGGTGTAACAGCTATTTGCCAAAGTACCTAAAGATAGTGAAAGAAAGTGTGAACATATTGTCAAGGTCAAGCATGTATTGTACTCGGAAAATGAACGTCGAATAGATGTAATTACTGTCCTTCATATATCTATGTCACCTGTGCCACACAGAATGCGGCAAAAAAAAGTAGAGACTAGACCGTGCTGCTGGATTACACTGCTACGGAACACCGCTACATTGGCTTTTCGATCGTCAGAGTAGGGACTACCAACGTTGAGTCACCAGCGAGCCCAACAGGAAGCAGAGGTCGAGATAGAACGGACTCGCTGGCGTTTGATAAGTATTCTAAAGGGTTGATAGAGAGAAGATACCAACCGCCATCGGCAGGACTTGAATCAATAATAAGAGAGACTATGAGAAATTGCCTAAACGGGGTAGATGAAAAAAGAAAAATGACTTATTGGTGGTACGAAGAGATCGCCAATAAGAGGAAGGAATGCATTGCCACCAGAAGACAGGCTACAAGGGCAAGAGGTAGAGAAGTAACCGAAGCTAGCAGAATGCATATGGTATACAATGCGCGAAAGAAGGAACTGAACAGGAATATCCGAGCCGAGAAGAAGAGGCACTGGAGAGAACTGTGTGACAAGTTGGATGAGGACGTTTGGGGTCAGGGGTACAAAATCGTAATGAACTAGTTCAAGATGTACCTTCTGTATGAGATGCCACTGAACAGGAAGTTTGAGGTTACCCAAAAGCTGTTTCCACCTGGCCATTGACATGGAGTGCAGTGGGACGCCGAAGCTGAACGATCTATACTTTTTACCATAGATGAACTCCTCAACGAAACGTTGAGTGCCCTAAAGATAGGAAAGGCTCCGACAATCGATGGAATACCACCAAAAGCGGTGAAACGCATTAGCAGTATGGAGCAGACGTGGCTTTTGGACCACAAGTACTGCTTGAAACTCAGCGATTTCCGGCAAATTGGAAGATCTCGAGGCTCATACTACTCCCAAAGGGGGAAGACAAGTATCGACCTGTTTGCCTTCTGTCGTGCGTAGGTAAATTATACGAAAGGCTCCTAAGAGGGCAAATAGACACAGTGATCGAAGAGTCAGGGGCTGTCACCTAGGCAGTACGGTTTCAGAAAGAACAGAAGCACGGTGGATGCGGTGATGAAAGTCTTCCGGGAGTTACGCGGGGTAGGGTTAACCAGAGGTGGGCAATCCTACTGTTGTTAGACGTCCGGAATGCTTTCAACATATTTAAACGGAAAGAGGCTCTACGAGAGAGAAGGCTTCCGAGGTACTTGATGAATTTGGTCGCCGACTATTTGTCAGAAAGGAAAATTGTGGTAGAAAAAAAAAGTATTTGACGTGACGGCTGGAGTGCTGCAGGTCGGTTTTAGGACCCACGCTATGGAACTTGGCATATGACGGGGTTGTACGCCAACAGTACGCAGAGGGTGTAACCCTTTTCGCATTTGCGGACACTCAAGAGCTACGGTGAGATCCGCCGCATTGGGAGGGATCATGCCCAACATCGGAGGTCCCAAAATTGGGAGGAGGAAGACCCTTCTCTGAAACTGAGGGAGAAGGCGTACAGAAAGCAGCTCACCCGAGAAGATAGGAAGAGTCTATTGAAGGTGGCGTGTGCATACCGCACAGTCTCTGTCGAGACGTTAGGAGTTATCAGCGGGTGTATTCCGATGCACGTGCTAGTGAAGGAAAGAGGACGAATATACGAGAGAAGAAATGAAGACAGCAACAGAACGTTTAAAAAAAGAAATGTAGAGGTCCATAATGGTGTGACAAGAGGAATGAGACGAGATGAGAAGGGTGGCGCAGTGGACGAAGTCGTTGATTCCTAATCTTAGAAGATGGATGGATTGCGAGCTCCAGAGTTTGGATTACTTCCTGACGCAGATGATCACAGGACATTGTTGCTTCAGAGAATGTTTTTACAGATTTGGAAAGGCAGAAAATGACAAATGCCTGTATTGTGAAATAGCGGACATTGTCTCACATACTCTATTGGTATGCGATAGATGGATAGGTGAGAGGAGCCTGTTTGAGAGAGCTAGACAGTAGGATGCAATCAATCACGGAACTGGTGGAGGAGCTGCTTAGGTCGTTAGATCGGTGGAGAGCAGTTCAGAGATATGTGAGGAGAACATTGGAAAGAAAGGAACAAGAAGAAAAGAGACCCAAAGAAAAGCAGGGTGCCCAGTACCAAGCAAGAAGATAAGGCAGAATGAGAAGGGGTGAGATTGAACATAAACAGGGAGGAATAGAGGAAGAGAAGAATTTCGTCGTAGTGAGAAAGTGCTAGAATGCGTGAGAATTGTGCGTCAATGAAAGATCGGGTGAATGCCGTGCCGATGTTGCGTCCCAATCAGAGCGATCCGGCCAGTAATTCACCGCTGAGGAGGGTGTTTTTTTAGCAGGTAGGTCTCTGGCATTGACGGCGATGGTGTTCGAACAACCCTAGCGCGCGGCTTTGGATAACATCGTGGCAACGCTGGAGGAGTCCTGCATAACTGAGGCTAGAATGCGGTTCTGCCCACCTTCTATAGTGTATTTTTATGTATGAGAGAGTAATAAAACAATAAATTATGTATGCAAATCCCTAAACTGTTGATACGGGTGACTCAATGAAAAACAGATATTTGTCAACAAGTTTACAGAAGTATATAGGAAAACAATTTTAAATTGAGTATGACCACCAGGTATAAAGGTTGGAGCAGAATAGAATACAATAGTTGTGAGGGTTACTAATCCCTAAATAAGGTTGCCAGTGTCGGAGTGATGGAGGTTAACAGGTACTAATGAATTTGCAAGAAATGTAAGATGTTTATTTTATTGGTTATATATTATATATAACCAATAAAAGTTTAATAAGTACCTACCTATTTGCAAAGTAAAGTTTAATTCTTTAGATAAAATAAAACGTTTTATTTTATCTGAAATGAGTGCATTCCACGAAGTAAGGATTTCAACAATCAAACATTTAATTCTTTAATTCCAGGAATCTACGACAGTAATTGACTAGATAATTACCTTCTAAACTTATTCCACAGAAAATGTGATAGTGGGTTTTTCCATTTTGTAGGAAGGTCCAAGTGGCGTATTCAAAATTCTTAACAGTTCATTAAAAGTAGGTACTTCAGTTGCAAGATGCAGTTTATTGTGTATACTAGTGTTATGGAAAATTTGGAAGTGCCGTGTAAACGCCGAAAAATTGGTCCTTTAACAGTTAATGAAAAAACATTAATATTTAATTGTTTTAAATCATTTACAGACAAACGTTTATGTGAAAGTTTTGATGAGACCGTTGAGTTAGTTAGTAGTACACTTGGTGTTGGGAAATCTACGATTTACAGAGTTATTAAAGAAGAGACATGTGGTAGTTTTCAAATGCCACGTAATGTTCCAGGGAAACCAAAATTTCAAATAGAATATCATTTTAAAGAAGGACTTCGACGGAAAGTGCATGAATTCTTCTTAAGACAAGAATTTCCAACATTGGATAAAGTTCTTGTCTCAGTTCGAGATGATAAGGATTACCCAGAAATGAGTCGAAGTACGTTATGGAAACTTTTAAAAGAAATAGGCTTCCGCTGGAAAAAAAATCCCAGAAAGTCTATTTTATCAGAAAGAAGCGATATTGTCATATGGAGAAGACATTTTCTAAGAACCATAAAGGAAATGAGAAACCAAAAAAGAAAAATATTTTATCTTGATGAAACATGGATCAACGAGGGTCATAGACCAAATAAATTTTGGCAGGATGAAACTGTTACAAGTCAAAGGCACGCTTTTGTAAATAACTTATCTACTGGTTTAAACCCACCATCAGGAAAGGGACGCAGGCTGATAATAGTACACATTGGCAGTTCAGACGGTTTTGTTGAAGGTGGTTTATTAATTTTTAAATCAACTCGTACCGGTGACTACCATGAAGACATGAACGCTGATGTCTTTCAAGAATGGTTCGAACAAATGATAGATCTTCTTCCTAAGAACTGTGTAATAGTAATGGATAATGCAAGTTATCACTCCAAACTTATAGAAGGACTGCCCACAACCAAGTGGTTAAAAAAAGACTTGCAGAATTGGCTGAGTTCAAAAAATATTACGTACCATCCCGGATCTATAAAAAAGGAACTTTATTCGTTGTGTGCCCTTCATAAAGAAAAATTTTAAAAATACGAAATTGATGAAATTGCCAAAAATCGTGGAATGACAGTACTTAGATCCCCACCATATCATTGTGAATTAAACCCGATTGAACTGGTATGGGCACAGATAAAGAGTGAAGTTTCAAGAAAAAATACCACTTTTAAAATTCATGATGTTAAACAGTTGTTTTTGGAGGCCGTAAATAATGTAAAACCTGAAAACTGGGAAAAGGCA